ATGATTATCAGGTACTACAGTTGAAACAAATCAAATTTATTAAATCAAAATCATACCAGAATACTCTGTAACAGCAACAGAATTTTCGTGGTAACAAAGGAAGACTTTTTTTCCAATGGTGATAAAGGTTAACGCTTTAATACTCGAGTAAGAAGGTACTAAAGTGTAATAGTTTTTTTTTTTTTGCATAGTTTATATAATTTTTTAATTAGAATTTTTGGTTACGAAATGATTTGTATAAGAAATTTTTTCGCCAAATAGGCAATAAAAAAATAGTTGAAAAAATTATAAAAGTATTTTCTTTAGCTTTCATTTAATAAATTGTAAAAAGAGAAAAAAAAAATTATTTTTTATAATTTTATCATAATATTGAATTTAGCCTTTTAAGGTATCCGACTGGTTTCGACAGTTTTTTAAAAGGCTCAATTAAAATCTTAATTTAACGTTATATTTGGTAAGCATGGATCTTAAAATTATAAATTTGAAGCAAAGTTTAAAAATTTATAAAATATCTTTCAAAATAAGGGCAAATTTGAGCTTCAAAACTACAAAATTTTCATGTCGCGATAACAATTCTACAACAAATAGTAGTGCATAAATTTCAAAATGAGTTTTTTTTTTAAATCAATAATGTCATTACATATGTTTTAGACTAAAATCTTAAAAAAAAAACAAAAAAAAAACAAGCAAACAGGCAATGAAATAAAACTAAATACTTTGTTTAATATTGGATTTTTAAAGAAAAATTCTACATATTCTAATGGTGAGCTTTTGAAAAAAAAATTATTCTAACCTAGACCTCTGCTTTAAATTCAAAGCATCGATAACAAAATCTACATTCACATTTTCAAAGAATTCTATAATAAATTTATTTTGCAATGTGCGTAAGCGTAAAGCAATTTTCTTAGATTCAAAATTCTAACAAAAAAATAACTTGAAAATTAATTTCTGAATATAAATTTTATTTGCTTTATAACAATTATTTATGCAAATAAATAAGAGTTCAAATACTCAAATAAAAAAATATTTTAGTTTCGTTTTCGTGAGTTTATTACCGGTTTCACTGCTCAGCAGGAGAAAAAACTAACTTCATATCTGAAAAACAGATAAAATTTTTTTAACAGGGCTTGGAAAGACAATAAGCTAAAGTTTAAAAATAGATAGTTTAAAAAAAGTCAATTTTTTTGTCTACATTGCCAATTTTTACCCAGTCGGATACTTTAAAAAAGCAAATACTATTAAAGTTTCTGATTAGGGAAAAAAGTTTTAAATCCAAGTAACCTTAGACAACAAACTTCTACGGCACCAAAAAGAATTAAACTTGGCGAAGTTTTCGGGGGTTGAGGACGAAAACAATAGCAAATCGCTATATTTAATACTTTAAACTAGAAACAACTTTATATATTACATTTTAAAAGTATCTCAAATGATATAAAACATCAAAAGCGGGAAAAAATAATTTAATAAATATGTTTTTTTTAAAGCTAATATGGATGGCAATTTTATTTGGAATTTTTTAGAGCATTAATTTTTAATTTAAGTCACAACTGATAGAAAATTTACTCCCATAGAAAACGCTTATTTAATGCAATTCACCATTTACTACAATAAAGTTCTTTGACTAACGCATCCTTTTAATTACTCTTCATTAAGGATGCTTTTTATTGAAAAACCATTCGACTTTTTATGGAAACATGGAGGTCAGCAGGATATGGAGGAGGGGGTTGTGATTTCTTCAGGTGGCTCTGCCCAATTGTTGAATGAAATCAAAACGAGACAGATTAAGGTTTAGAAGTCATTCCAATTTACTATCTCGCCGATTAGTCATCAGGTTGTATGACAGAGAGCTATTATTTAAATCGAAACTTTTTAGAGACCGGTCGTAATTTAGCACAACAGTTACTATATGTTTTGAAGAAGCATGTTTCTCTTGAAGATTTTTGCCACAAAGTAAGAGCCGGAAGTTAGGATTCATGTGTGTAATCATGAAAGTTATTTCTTCTATTTTTATCAGTCGGTACTTCTTTCAGTTATATCAGAGGTCGGAAAAACTACATAATTTTTGTAGTTTACTACAAATACTTTTATTATTATTATTTTTAAATGTAGCGTCTATAAGCTTCTTCCGAAATGTAGTTACTATTTTGCTTTTTTAAGGAAATGAATTTGGAAAAATTATTTTACACCGATATGTTTCGAATAGATTTTGAATAAAAAAATTGGCTTAACATGAAGAATTATTAGGAATTTTTATTCATGTTTACATGAACCAGTTTGTTATTCTAACACCTTTCAACTTTTTATTCCCTTCTTTAATTTAAAAAATGCTAGCAAATATTTGCAATTTTGTTAAGTGTTCAACACTTTTTTATTTCCTCTATGAAATTAAGCACGTCGAAAGTATGTTTCCATGCTATGAAATAACATCAGGGTTTATCGAGTGTACATTCGTAAGTGAAAGTGTGAAACTATTTATTATTCGTAATGGCAAGCTTAAATATTAGTTAGAAATGATTCTAAATACGCAACTCTTGTTAATGCTCAGTTACAGAGGCATTTTCATTGCGTCCATTGGTGGACTCGAAATTCGAACTCATCGAATTCGGAAAATTAGTTTCGCTAGAACCTTTTGTTTTTTCACTACTCCAACGTTAAAGGTAATTGCCAGGAATCGCTACAAACTACTGTTTTTTTTAATATTTAATATCGCACTATTCTCAACCCTACTTTGTAAAAGTAGCACGCTACGCTACAAACTACGAAAAAAAAGTAGCGACTACAGAAGTTTCATTACTTGCAGAGCGCCACTTCCAACCACTGAATAATATACTTAATCAAACGGCTTCATTGCGATCATACGCCGAAAGACAAAAATAATTTAACATTGTTTTTCGAAGCTCTGTCGCTTATGAAAATAAAAAAGCCTTAGTTAAATTGCTTTACAATTGAAGCAACGCGGTTATATTAAACTATAAATCTTGCCGTGAAGAATTATCAGCGCATTAGAACAGACAAATAGCTTAATTATTTTAAAAGTTATTAAACTTTTTTTTAAAATTCACCTATTTGGTGACACTTTTCCACATAGATCAAAACACTGCCGTATTCTCAGTTTTTCCAATTTCTTTTAAGACCAGGTAATGTAGCATTAAAGTAAGTTTTTAAGTATAAAAAAATTAGATAACAAACGCTTATCATTTTTACAAAACTGCTGCTTTTCTCCATATTGACGTTTTGTGCCATTTTCAAAATAAGCGTAGACAGTGCTGACTTTCAATAGGCTTATCTTGAGCATGAGTAACAGTTGCAAACACACAGCAGTTATAAAAATAGCATATTATTCGCAAAAAAAGTATAATTTTTTGCGTGTGTAATGCAAGTGCATTTTCACCAATACTCATTGATACATATAGGGAAAAGACCCTGTAGCTAAGACTGGAACGCCTGTTGGAGCTAAACTGTTTGACCTAGCAACTGTCAGATTTAACCAAGAAATTCATTGTTTTGTTGTATAAAATATCAAAGTTTAGTGCATTCATAAATGTACTAATCATTTTTTTTCAATTACCTTTTCTTTTCTAGAAAATATAAAACCATTCGTACACTTGTGAACTCTATGGAAAATTTAGAATTAATTAATATTTTTTTTAAAATTAGTTTTTAATTTTAATAAAAATTAATTTTATTATTTTACGCACGAAATACTACCAGTTATAACTATCTCTTATTATAATAAAATAAAAAAAATCTGTAAATTTGTTTGTTTACGTGCTGCTTTGAGAGTAAATGGAGAAACAATTATGAAATTTAATATTGTCGAAGATACTGAATCACAATCGTGCATCATTTTATATTAACTTGCGTTATTTATCCCATTCTAAATTTTTTCCTTGAAATTATAAGACATTTATTTTTCAGGATATTTATAAATTTTTCATTTTCAGAAACATGTTCAACTCACACTTTGTCGGTGAGCTTTTTAATTTGGACACAGCTCAAGATGCGTGTTTAAGAAAATGGACACAGCTATTTAAGAAAACGACTTAGAATTTGAATCCATTTCTCAAATTTATCTAACGAAATTTTTTTAAACAATTAGCTAATAAATCCAAATAAATTTTCGTATTGGGATCTCACCCATCTGCTTACATCATTTATAGCACATTTTTTTTTTAAAATAACTGTTTTTTTAAACGACTTTAAAGTCAATAGTTCTTTTTAAAGGCTGCCGCGAACTCAATAAATTCATAGTAGCAGTACGAATTTAGGACATTAAAAACCACTTTATCCTTTAGTATACTGAATATGACGAGATGTCTAAAGTTACATCCGCAATATATCGACCTAGAAGTCCGGAACCAGTTACGATTATAAGTGTTTAAAAAAAATGAAGAAAAGTAAGGAATTCTATGTTTATTGTTAAATTTGAGTTTGACATTAAAAAGACGTTTTTTTGCCAAGTCCACTATCTCCATTTCTTTAAACACAAATTTCGAGCTGTGTCCATTTTCTCAATCACATATATCTAGCCGTGTCCATTTCCTTAAACACACACTTCGATAGCTGTGCCTATTTTCTTAAACACGCATTTTTAACTGTATCTGATTTCTTGAACACGCATTTTTAACTGTGTCCACTTTCTTCAACACGGACCTCGATCTGTCCGTTTTCTTAAACACGAATTTCTGGATGTATTCATTTTTTAGAAACACGCATTTCTGTCTTTGCTCATTTTCCTCAACACGCATTTCGAACTGTTTTCGTTTTCTTAAACACGCATTTCGAGCTGTGTCCATTTTCTTAAATATGCATTTCGAGCTGCGTCAATAAAAAATTTCCCGACAATATGTTAAGCATTAGTTAAAATTATATGTAAATTATACACTAGTATCAATGGAATTTATAACCGATTAAACCTAAAAGGTAATTCTCATTCCATGAGTAAGGTTTTTTTTCTTTCTAATGTCTTAAATATTATTCATTAATAAAAATACATGCTCTTTTTCTTCTTTGTCTTAAACATTTTATTTGCATACAGCCAAAGAATGGACTTAATTACAAGTTAGAATTTTGAAATATATCATCAGAGTTCTGTCTCGCCGGAACACAATGATTTGTGATGAGATGAATAAAAAAGAAATTGTAAATGATTGAATGAGTGAATTAAGAAGTCAGTGTTCCTATTACTGTTTTACATCATGGAATGGTTCCTCTACATCATAGTTATTCTTCTGGAAAAAAAAAAGGAAAATCATTTTCATTTAAACTGCAAAAAGAATAAGTGAAATGTTTTTAAAGTTCAGTAAAAAGTCATGTCATACACTTATATCTGCATGTTGAAAAACATGCAGATGTTTTGATTATCTGTAAGCATAGAACATTAATTTATTTACGGAATTAAATAATTTTTTAAAGCTTTCAATTAAAGAAAAAAAGATTTTTTTACATATTTCAATATATTTTGGAGCTGATTTTCCTGAAAGTAATTGACAAAAAAAATGACAACAATGATTTTTTTATACCAAGCTCTTCAATTATTAAACATCAAAATAATAAGATTTTATCATTGTACTATTAATTTAATGAAGTTCAGTTTTTAATTTTTTTAAAAACTTATTATGATTCATTCTTAGTTTATTGCCAGATGGAAAACTTCATTCGCTTTAAAAATAAACAAATATGAAATAACAGTCGACATGCTTTAAGAGTTTAAAAAATAAACAAATATGAAATAACAGTCGAGATGCTTTAAGCGCTTCAAAAATAAACACATATGAAATAACAGTTGAAATGTTTTAAGCGCTTCAAAAGCAAACATATATGAAATAACAGTTGAAATGTTTCAAGCTTTTCAAAATTAGAGGCCCATTTTCAAGATGTGAATTGCAAGTCTTTAGTTTGGCAAGCCTTGAAAATAGGCGTCTATTTTTGAAGCTCTTGAAACGTGTCGACTGTTATTTCATATTTGTTTATTTTTAAAGCTAATGAAGTTTTCAATCAGGTAATATTTTAACGCTTCAGTTTTCTTTAGATTTATTTAATCATTCTTAGCTTGTTAAAAAAAAATGACAAACATGCATAATCTCTCAACAATCGAAATCACATGTTTTTAATGAGTTTACTAGCAGTTAAATACATTTGTAATAGCTAAAAACGTTTAGGAAAAGGATTTTGCCAAATTCAGAAAATAAATTAAGTTGATGTAAAAAAAAAAAAAAAAAAAAAAAAAAAAAAAAAAAAAACAATAGTTTTGTTATTTTTATATTTTACAAATTTTTTAAAATATTTCGAAAATGGCCCATCAAAACTTCTTTACTATAAAAAGTTGAAGAATTCAAAGAAAACTAAAATAAAGAAAGATGACTTATTTTTTAGACTCTGAAGTGTAGAATACAATATAAGAATGGCTTATTGGAAAAAGTACAGTTTTCTTATAAAATAACTATACTAATTATTTTATAAAAAGTATAAATGGAAAAATATAGTTTTTGTCAATACCCTTAAGTGTAATTGATTAGCTGCATGGGTAACTGACTCACACAGTAAAACAAAAAGCACACTATACAAATCAATATTTCAATCAGATTTCTGCCACTCCTAAAATGTCCCTTTTTTTTAGCTATAATCAATTGATTTTTTAAATAATTTCAGGATAATTTTAAAAAATAATTTAAAACTTAGTACTAACTGATATATAGGTTCTATTAATGCCAATAAGTTAAGAAGCTTTTAACTATTATTTTTTTCAACTGTCTAATAAGCATTGCTATACTAGAATACACAAAAAATTACGTTTCTAGTATAAGAAATAAAAATATTGTTTGTTTTTATGGTTCACTGTGTCACATAAGTATTGCTTTAGTTCACTTTCTGACGAATTAATGTTTTGAATTAGAGTATACCAAAATTATAATTTCTGAACTGGACAATGATTTAATTCAAGCTATACTTTTGGCAGAAAAAAAATCTACAATCATAGTTTCACCGACTTTGTAACTAAAAAGTTTCAAAAAATATTAATTGATTATGGACAAAAGTGGGATGCAAAAATTTTAAACAAATAAGAAAGGAAAGATTGAAATAAAATAAAACGTTTTTAGTATATGAAAAAACTACTTTGAATTTAAATACTGTTGTCATAGTAAATCAAGATTATATGTCTCTTAAAATATTTGAATTTTCACTGTGAGGAAGTTGCTAGCAAGTTTAACTAGATATTTTAAATGATTTAATTCATATGTTAAGTAGTAAGTATAGAATAAAAAGTATATGATTGAAATATTCAAAAGTAACTTTAGTAATTTGACTTAATTGAACATTAAGTTCCTTTAAGAAAGTTTTTTTCTTGCATAATATAAAATACAAAGTTTCTGAAGGATCTTCATTGAAGCAATTGATAATTTACTACTTATTTGTATTGCATAAATGAAAGTTTAAATTAACAATCGTGGCCAGGATAGCCTAGAGGACAGGGCGCTAGACTAACGGTCGCAAGAGATCTAGATTTCAAATATAGCCAGCCGAGGCCTGCTGTGTAGTAAATGGTGACTGGTGCACATTATATCTCTTGGGTCACTAAATCCTCTATGTTCCCATAACAAATTAGACCTCTGGGGGTACTGAATTGGGGATACATCATTCTCTGGTTCAGGTCAAAATTACTCTCGCAGTTGTGGATGAATTAATGGGTCCCCCCTATAAACAGGTGTGATGTATGGGTGTGTCAGAAGTTGAATTTTTGTCCATAGATGGCGCCACTGGAAAACAAGAACAGTCACATCCCTTGCCTTAATGGCCTACAACAACAACGTTAACACTCATAATGTCCAATGCAATCCCTTCATTTCAATATGAAATCTAGTTTAATTTTTTATTATTCCCCAAAAATGATCACTTCAAATCAAAAATACTTCTAGAATGTCTCATTTGGTCGCAAAAGTTTCGAAGAAATAGTAATTTCTTTTTGTTTTATGCAAATCAAACAAGATACATTTAAAATTTTTCTTGAATGAAAGAAGATACACAACCAACCCTCGATGTTCTTATTTTAGTTGGTCGAGTACATGATCTTTGGTCAAAAAGTCAAATGCTACTACTAATAACTTGACACATAATACTACAATTAACTTGAGTTATAGTACTTCTAATAACTTTATTTACAATAACTACTTTATAGTATTATAAATCAAAAGTGATTATTGCATTTAGTTTTGATAAAATTAGTCCTGCATTTGTAGTTACGAGTAAATAATTGCAATATTTCTCCGCACTCATGTAGTGACCATGCATTTTTACAAGAACGTTTCGTCAAACGTTTCAAAAGTATGGTGTACATAAAGTGATGGAATACATAAGTTATAGATTAGGAATTAAATTTCTTATGGAGACTTGAATAATCATAACAAAGTATTAAATTTGGGAAGTATTACACTCTAATTTAAACTTTGTTTTATTAAAAATTTCTTTTTTTAAGTTGTGCCAGACTGCTAGGTATAAAACGCAATTTAGAGAGTCAGTCAGAAAAAAAAATGCCATAGAAAAATTCCCCAGTGAGCTTAAATGTTTTTTTGTATAGTTAGACTATTTTTTCATATTGATTAATTCATTTGTTTTTCCACATACACAATGGTAAAATACTCCCAATATCTATCTAATTTTTAAATAAAATAGTATGATAGTTACTAAGAATAAAAAAGAAATAATTTTATTTTAACAAGGTACAAAATTATTAAATTTTTATCTTTTTAAAAGTAAGAATGTAAATGGTAAACTAATACCCTTACATTTAAAATAATACTGTTAACAGTTCATGAGAGATTATTGAATGCAAAAAAATATTATGTATTTTTAAAAGAGATTATTTTAAAAAGACTTTTTCCAAACCTTACAGCAAAGACAAAATTTACATGCTTAGACATAACTCCTTATTAATATGTGTTAATTTAAAATGTAAATGTATATTTAACACAACTTACAAACTTAAACAAGGGACAAACAACAATTTAAACCCAAAGTATTAATTTTGTACATCAAATTTTATTGAAACACAAAAGTTCCGATTCCAAAATTCTGTTATTTGTAAAATTGCTTACTTAAAAAAAAAAAAAAAAAAAAAAAAAAAAATTACACATAATTTTTTTACTTTGAATTTTTAATAATAAAAGGCATACAAAGTCTCTTTTCGGGTTATACATTGAATTGTGAGATTTCAATATCTTGTAACACTGTGGGCAAATATGGATATTTCATATTATTGCACAAAATTTTTCTAACATTATTTTTTTATTGGTCAAGGTTCTCATTACCCAAATATAATTTATTAACACCCACGTCAACGACGTTTTACACAATTAAAGTTAATACTAATTCTCGTGTTATTTTCGAAACTGATATTTATCATTAACAATATATACTGCCGTAAGGCTATATATTTTGTAGATAATGAATAAAACATGTAACCTGGGAATAAATTTTAAATATTGCCATGGTGATATTTATAAAATATCAATATTTCACAATGCATCATCAAGGTCTAGTTACACACTAATTCACAACAACAGTTTGTAAGTTGTTTAAAATTTTATTAAAACTGTTAAGTTTTCCTAAACTAGAGGATAAAAAACACTTTAAACAACACAGGCAGTTAGTAAAAAAAAATATATATAAACTATGAATGATTATATTTATTTCGAATTAAAAATTCTTCAAATTCTGTAATGCTTGTGCGTTAAAAGAATGTTAGGAAAAGGGACTCTTACACGGTTGCGTGTTAACATCAGAACTAATGTTTACCGTACCTTCATAAGTGTCGCGCATTTCTGAGCTCTGAAAAAGTAAAAGAAAATTGTTAGAGAAGAAAAAAGAAAGTTGGGAAATAAGCAATATGTAGGTCACTATTAATGTTTTGAGAGTCAGATATTTAAAGTCTTTTTTAACCTTTAATGACTGATTAATAAGAAGTGTTTTTCTTATTTTATATAATCTAAAAGAAAATACTGAAGTATTGCAGCTATTACATGTGAAAATGTAATATGTGATGCTACACTTTCAAGGTTCCAAAATAATGATTATTACAATTTAATTTTTAAATTTGGAGTACAGACAGGAATCACCCAAAACTGAGTCAATATTTTTTTAAAAAAAGAAAGAAAAGAAAATTAAAGGTTGTTTATTCTTTTAAACACCTGTATCAAATACTGTCATTAACATTGCAGTATTTCTATACATAGAAATGTAAATCTGTTGTTAACACTGAAGATAATGCTATCTACCACATATGTAAAAGTATGGGACTAAGAAATTTGATTTTGGAGGTCACAAATTGATTTTCATTCGTATTACCGATTAGATAATCATTTCATATTACTGTATATAAATTACAAAATATGAAATGAGAGCTTATTCAGACATAGAATCAAATATGAAATAGGCATAGTATTAAATTGCTTCTGGAAACTATAATTCATATTCTTTTAGTAATTAAAAAAATTATGTTCTAATAGTAAATTTTAATTTTCAAAACTTTAATAATGATCTACATATTACAAAGGAAAGACAATATTTGAATAAAAAAAGTTAAATAATAATAAAATGAATAAAAATCTATTAATAATAAGGACAATTTAAAAGTGAAAAGTTTTTATTTTTATAAAAACAATGAAAAAAAAAGGAATTACTATCTTGTTAATTTCAATGATAAAGAATATTTCTATAATTTCATTAATCTTTAGAAAATATTTTTAAACAGTAACACAAAGTAATCAAATAAGAATGTCAGAATTGGGAAATTGTGTAATGCAAATATTTCTTAAAGTTAATTCATATCCAATCAGAAATTTTAGGTTGAAACAAATGGTCGAAATTTTTTTTTTATTTTTTGTAAATTAATAAACACATCTAGAATTAATATATTAAGAAAAGTACAAGATTTCAATCCCATTTCAATATGTTTAAATAAGCACATCACTAGTTGTTTCACAGACAAAAAATAAAATTTTACAAATTATGAACAAAGCATGCATAGTCGCGTAACGTAGCGCAAAAGTGAGAAGATTTTTCTACCAAAAAAAGAAAAAGAAAAAAAAACAAGATCAAAAGCATTATAATGTGTATAAGGAATCAGAAATGGCGCTGAAAAATTATATATTTTTTTTGAAAGAGGGAGCATTTTTAGTTCCTATGTCTAAAACGGGTGTAACTATTATTCAGTTAAGAATCTTTCATTGCAGCATAATAACACCAAATAAAACATGTAGACAAAACTAAGCAAGTCTTAATCTTGTACCTAAGCTGAATTTTGGAGGCATGAAGTCATAAATCCTAATGTTGAACTGCAATGAGCACTTTGCGATTGCTGACATAGGAGTGACTTATGCTTTCAACATTTTCTTCTGAAGCTCTTCTTTGCTTTGGTAAAGATAATCTTTTGCTATTTCTACCAGTTTCTTTGAATTGTTTGATCAAAAGTTTCCAATTCAAAAAGAGGAGAAAAAAAAAGTTGCAACTTTTGTTAGTGATTCTTCCACAGAATAATTCAGTGAAACACTTTTTGGGAATTACTGGTTTAAAGCATAGATAAAAGGCTTTGTCATCAGCTCTTATTTTCCTTGAGTGTAACTGATGCAATTTAACAATTAAAATAAATTATGCATAATACGCAGCAAATTCTGCTTTTTTTTTTGTTGCACAATTTTCATCTTACACTGTGTGCTTTCTGGCTGGAAGAAAGAAAATCTAAACTGCCATATAATAGAGGACTAATCAGTGTGGAAACTTTTATTACAACCTATTTCACTTCATTTGATGAAAGAATTATTTTTGTGTCTTGCCCTTAAAAATTACATTTTTAATGAGATTGCAAAATCCTTACATTTTTTCAGACGGTATTATTATTTCGTTAAATAATGTATATTGTTTATAAAAGATCCTTGATTCTGACTACATACAGCAATGACTACAAAATCATACCTATCAACGTTGGAGAAATAAAATAAGGGAGATTTTACCAGCGAGATTTTTTGAGCTATGTGTTTAGTTTCGACACATCATGCAAGTAAAAAAAAATTCAAAAATGAAATTAATATAAGCATTTAGAGAAGTAAAAAATATGTAAATAAATCTTTATCTAAAGAATATTTTTTAAAACCATTATTCACACTCAATATCAAAATAACTTTCTTAATTCTAAGTAATTAGCTTTATTTTACAGAATTTTTACAAATTCATATTTCAAACATAAGTAGCTAATTTGGCTTTGCATAGGAAATTTGCTGGCTTAGCATTGGAAGTTTTGTTCATAACTGTTAACAGCGAAATTACTTTTCATCACAAGAAAGCTTTCAAGCTTTACATCAGAAAGTAATGAGCAAAATTTGGAGAAATTTTTTTTTAACTGTAGAGAAAATTCTTTCACACTCTGCATTACTCTGCGGAATGCATAGAATACCTAATATAACATACGCTATATTTTTGAACTGTTTAGTTTTATATTATTTATCTTTTAGTTGTCCAATTGACACCCCCAGTAAATGATTATGAAAGCCGAAATACATTTATGTTTTAACGACGATTGTTAAAAATGTAATGCAAACAAAGTTCTTGCCAGATTCCTATAGGTATATAATGAAGTTAGTTATCGGAGAAAAAATGATTCACTGAATAAACTATGCAGCATTCTGACTACATAATGATTAGTTGGCGTGGCAGCATATGAACTGCAGTACTGGCAATAAAGCCATCAGTTGAAGAATAAGAGAGGTATTTCTGCCATTAGCAGAAATTTATCACTAAAAAAAGTTTTCTTAAAATTTCTTAAGTCTTAAAATATGGGAGTCTTCATTAAAAAACAAGAGACTTGCAGGTATGGAAAAAAAATTCAGCAGTTTAAAAAAAAAAAAATGATCCTAGAGGTAGTAAAGGTTGTTTACTAATATTTTAATATGAAAGGATGAAAATAATTATGTCCACCACTACAAATAAATAATTTAAACAGGTTTATAAAAGGCCAGATATAATGTTGGTCATGCTATTAAGTACGAGTTTTATAAAAATCATATTTTTTTTAAAAATATCTACTTCATTTCCCTACCATTGGAAAAAATAATATGGGAAATTTTCAAATGTAGGATAGTATGTGACTATACTAAGAACAATAATTATTTGAATAAATAATTTTAGTAAATTGCACACTAAATTATATGTACTTCATTATTAATCTATAAAGTATTACTGTATTGATCAAAACTAATTTGAATTATCACAGATTCTGGTGAACTATAACAGTATATGGTATCAAATATAATTAAATACTAAAAATATAATCTTAAAGCTAATAAATAAAATTTAAATAAGAACTAAAATATGTAAAAGCTGCCACAGTAAATAGATGCATATAAATAACTAAATTTTAATAAGAGCAACCATAATTTAAAATTATAACCCACTAATAAATTTCACTCCTGGAATATCTGCTTAATTTTTTTTTTATGAAGAATATGAAACATAATAATAAATTATTTTTTATTAATACTCTTGATTTGAGAAAATGAGGCAAATTTTTAGTTTAGATCATATTAACTTGATAAAATTAAATTTATAGTCGCAATACATATTTTAAAAGTATATATTTTTATAATAAAAACACACACTTACATGGACATGAAATGTATAAAAATCTACTATAAAATGAACATGTTGCACTATAAAATTTTTAAAACTAATCTCAAATGTAATCTTTATTAGGCAATATATTCAATAAGATATTTGATATTTTGTTTTCATAAAATTTATAGTGCAAAATATTAATATTATAGTTATAAGCATATTTTTACTTTACAAATACTAAACCAAACAGCAGTTTTTATTTATCATCAAGTTAAACGAATAGCTGAGATATAGTTTATTTATATCAAATTTAAAGTGAAATTATTCAAAATAAAGCTTGCACTGCTTGAAGTAATAAATATCAAGTTTAGATTAGCACAGCATGGCAATACAGAGCGGGACAAAACTATAGGTTCACTAAAAATGTTATATTTTGCACCAAATAAATAAAATAAAAAAAGAAATATTATAAGTGACGTGATTCTTTTATATAGAAATCAAGGTAATTGATAGTAAAGATGGCATTAAAATATGTTTTTAGAGGTGAAACAAAAGTATTGGTTTACACATAATGATAGCATGTGAAATCAGCCTTTTGGGAGATTTCTTTATCTATCTTAAAGTTTAACAAGCCGTTCATTTCATTTTCATATTGAAAATATTTTTCTTCTCATCACAAAACAGTGTTGATAGTAAATATTTCCAAACCCTTTTGACCAATATAAGTCAAAAAAGTTGACAAAAGTGAACCTATAATTTTGTTCCACCTGCTTCCTAAGCTTTCAAAATTTAATTATGCACAAAAAAAACTTTTACCTTTAGAGTTTAAATATCAAGTGAACCCATAATTTTTCCAGCACCATGTTAAAATGTTGCAAAAAACTGCTGTTATTGTGGAAAGGAACAAGAAACCAAGATAAATATGTAGAAAATTAGAAGTTTTAATATCTTCTTTTTTCAGAGTCTAAAAATTAAGTAAACAAGAAAAAATAAACAACCAAACACTCATTCATTTCACTCAAAGATAAATAAAATAGAACATTCGGTTTCAAAACCAGCTTACATTTCTGTCAGAGTTGATTTTGATAGGAAGCAGTAAAAATTTTTTTACATATTGGTTGTATTATATAGAATTAACTTCAAAAAAAATTTAAAATATTTTTGTAGCATTCATCTATAAAATATTTTTCAGTTAGTTAATAGCTTACAAAATAAGGTACAATTGTATTAATTAAAGTATGCACCCATTATTATTATTTTTTTTTGTACATTTGCTATAAGAGAGGACTATACCACAGGAGAAGAACTTCATGGCAAATTCTCTTTTCCCTATAAAAGCAATTTAAAATATAGAAAAGGTGAGTTCAGGTGAATGTTGAGAAAACAATGAAGTTTCAAATGCTAAAAAAAAAAAATGTTTTCAAAGTATCAAAATGCAAACAAATTAAGGCAGGATGATGCAGTGGAAAGTGATTTTGTAATAATTTAATGGCAAGTTTTAACCAACAGGCAATTTAGAAAATGGGCAAAATTGATAGAATGTTTCTTCCCTATGCACTGATCCCCTACCTATTAACATGGAAAAACCGGTTTTGCTATGCAGAGAAGACTGCAGGTATAAAATACGACTTTTATTGTGCAGAACCATCCGTGGGTTAAAGAAGAAAACAATGAAAATTTTGAAAAAAAAAACAATAATGACAACCGAAGATGACATAATCAGAGGGTACCAACCTCGGAAGTCATAAAAATACAATACCTTTTCTATCAAGAGAGCACAACAAATGTTTAAAATTTGCTCTCTTTGTTTCACTAAAGGTTTTGTAAGAAGTCCAGGAAGAGACAAAAAGAGAATACAAAAACAAAATACATAAACTAATTACAAAAGGAAAAATAATTTTCAAAAAAATTATGTAAAAACATATTTCTTTTGCCAAAACAAAAGTACACTACATTCTGAAAACCCTTAACCAAACAAAAATTCATAAATAAACTACGCCCTTACTTAATGTGTAGAGAGAGAAAAAAAAAGGAAAGTAAGAAAGTTGCAGCCATCTGTTAGTAGAAAAGCTTAACTGGGGCAACACAGTTAAGTTTCGTTCTAGCTCGATTAAAAGAAAACAAACTAATATTTTTTAAACATTTCTTCAAATTTATCTTCAATATTCTAAAAATTAAAAGGAAAACCATTAATTTCAATATTATTTAAAAAAAGATTTCTATTTTTATTGCTGCAATAATTTATTTACATTTTGATAATTTGAAATTTTTGTTTTAGAACTTGAAATTTCGTGGTTTACACTAAATTTATTGGAACTCACTTTTTCTATTCTTTACATTATTTACGTAGAAGAAAGAGAATTTGCAGGAAGTACTTCTTTCATCGAATAGTAGCATCTTAAGTAGCAGAATGTTCAGGTAAATGGTATAAACCCCTGGTGGACAAGAGTCAATGAATCCCTAGAAAGCCAGTTTTACTGCATTGGCAGGATAAAATTTTTTTTCAATTAAAATGTCCAAATTGAAGAAGTGGTCGTCAGTGGGGGTCAAGATCTGGTGAAATTGGAGGATGACAAATTTTCAATTTTTCTAGTTTTCCACAGTCGATTGATATTTGTTTGTGGTCTGGCATTTTCATGCTAATAAAAGATAAGGGGGGATCAATCAAGGCTGTTTTATTAAAAAAAGTTTTTGCATATTTTTATCCAGTTGGTCACAGTACATTTGATGAGTCATGTTTCATAATAAATAACTTTTGCATCATACCACCAAATACTCTTCATCAATTTTTTTGTGTGAATATTATGCTTTTGAGTATGTCTTGGTGATTTATTTGTGTCTAACTAATCAACATTAGAGCTAACTAACACTAAAGCCAAATACACTATTAATATTTTGCACAGTCTGCAATACTGAGTTAAATGAATAAAAAATAAATAAAATAAAAGAAATCTTATACTTTGGAAATGAAGGAATTTTTAGCAATTTAATTAAAAATAATTTTTAGAGCACACTATGATTTTCTTTGATCAAACAGCATATTTAACTATTTAACAAAAGGAACAGAACAGTAAAATAATAAGCCAATGTAAAAAAACAAATAAAAATAAAATATTGATAAGCTGTTACAGATGATAAATTGAAATAATATTATACAAAAATTAAATAAGAAAGTTTTTAATTGGAATTACTTATTATGCAAAATTTTTGTTGTTGAAAAAACTGAAGTTAAACAATAATGATTTTAAAATTATCACACAAAGTTATGTAAACATATTTTTACTTTATTAATGTAGATTGATAAACTTTATTTAGTTGAGTTGAATGTGAAATTCAATGGCATAAGTCTCATAATTGGATATACTGAGCAAAGTATAAATTGAGGTAAACATATTGAAAAACATATTTATTACAATAGAAATTCCTCAGGTAAAAATGAAAAAAAAGGGGGATTCTGCTTTATTATAATTTCTCAAAAAGTCAAAGAAAACTTGCCAAGCTTTAGCTACAGTAGATTAAGTTTGTTTTAAAACCATGACTGTCATGTAAAATTAGGGAATATTTCATTCTTAATTTTTAAATACTTCATTTCATTTTTATATGCAAGAAACAATGAACAATAAAGATTAAAAATCAAAAGAAGTTCAATTAAATAAAAGGTGATGGTATTTAGTGAGATGAATACTAATCATTAGGCTAGACTTACCTTTTGAATGTATTTTGAGTTAATAGTAATTTCTTGATCCATTTGTCTTAGCTTCTCATCCAATGAGATGCATTTCTTCATCTAACAAAATGAAAATGCATAACTAATTTATAACTAAATGCGTAACTAATTTAAATTATACTTTTTTAATTGCAGACAAGAATTTATAAACGCTTTGTCGTAATTAATTAATAATAATCATGACTCTTTTTAAAATTTACAACACTGAACATTTTTAATAGGACTCTGCAGTAGGAAAAACACATTTATTGTTGCTGTTGTTAAATGTACAGAGGGACCAACTTTAAAAATTAGCTATTAGTAATCAGAAAAACAATTATTAAAAAAAGCATTGATTATATTAATATTGGACAACTTGAAGATGCTTCACAAAATTAATAGACACTCCCTCAGAAACAACAGATTCCTTATGATGAGCTATGCTTGAATCTACAATTGTGCAAAAGCAAAAACTCAGTAGGAAAATATTTTGCTAAAAAAGCAGAAAATTAGTTACTAAAGATAAAAATAATTAAGTAACCAATATTCATTCAATTTTCTTTATAAAATTTATGCAAGTAAGTAGAAAAGTTAAATTTTCATCTGGATTATAAAATTGCTTAGACATAAATACTACCTTTTAAACAGAAAAGATTTTTTTTTCATTTTTAATATATTAACTTTCAGATGCTTCTTTGTCCTTAAGGTTTTGACAGCAACATTTTTCGGGCTATCAGTAAAGTATTGATACACCATGCATAATCATGTAAGTCAAAAAGAGAAATTCAAAATTGGAAATAATATAAGCACTTACATTTAGCGAAATAAAAAGATTGTTTATAAATCATAATATAAAGAAGATATTTTAAACCATTATTTATAATTTCTTAAACTATAAACACTCAACATACTGCAGTACTGCAATAGCACCATCTGTTGAGGAATAAGAGAAGTATTTTTGCCATTAGCGGATGTTTTATCGAAATTTTTTTCTTCTTTTTTTAATTTCTTCTAGAAATATGGAGAAATCTGAGAATTTACAGGTAAACAGGAGACAGGCGTAAAATATAGGAGTCTTTGTTAAAAAACAGGAGGCTTGGCAAGTATGCTATATCATTACAAAATGCGTAAGATAAAGGAGTAACTCTTTAAGACTACTTCATAAATTGTAAAACTTTCATGGTTTACAATGGCAATAGGCTTTATAAATTATATATATAGGCTCTTGTTAAGAGTTTTCAAGAACTCTCATTAGTTTCACAGCAAAATGTATAAGAGCATTATGAAATAATAAATGGTTAGTGGTAAAAATTCATAATTAGTGATTTTTTGTATTTGTAAAATTTGTGTCATAATAACATTGTATTTAAAATATTGGAACTAAAAAAAAAAATTAGGGGCATTTTCATTAAATACTAATTTATTTATAGGCAAATTTATTGAAATTTGAATCTTATCTTATTTAAACGTTCAGCCCAGTATACTTGGTATCAATTAGAAATATAATGTAGCAAAATGTATTAATGTTCTATTTTTAAGCTTTTTATTATGGCTTCTCACTGATGTGCGTGTCTCACTTATATGCGTTTTTCCTGTGGTCCACTGCCTCAGCGCACAAATGGTCACTGTCACTGTAGTATCAGCATATGCAACTCAAGAATTTACACACACACAAGAAATGCAAACAAAAAAAGACCAAAAGTTGTGAAGCAATTGAAAGAAACAATGAAAGAACTAGAAACATATTTTTATTATAAATACTTATTACCTAAATAATATTAAAATATAATTATAAAATTAATCCAAGACAAAATTAATTCAAAATACCTCATCTTCCAAATGCTGGAACATTGCAGGAGAGTTATATTTTTCAGGATTATCCAAGAATACAACCATACCATCTTTTTGGTTTATTGATGCAAATATTTGACCATCTTCAATCTTCATATAAAAAAAAATATATATATACAACTTGTATTGCAAATATTATTTGAAAATGTTAATTTTAATTATTTTGACATTAAAGAAACAGTCTGTGTATCAAAGAAGGTACGAAAAATGTCACTCGCAAATAATGCTGAAATATCCTTTTTATTCAATTAGGTTTTTTGGTTAGGAAATAGAATGACTTTTAAGATATTCAAATAGATTTCAAAACTTTTTTATAAGAGTTCTAATTTAGCAAATAATTTGTTATGCCAAATACAGAATTATGTAAGAAGTAGAAATTTTATACTAATATATAAAGTTAGTATTTTAGTGTTGGCACTTTAAAACACCAACATTAAAGTTTCTGATAAAAAGTGGAAAAAAAAGATATTTTTTAAAGTAATTTTTCACAGTTAAAAGTGCTCTTCATTTTGAAGAGCACATGCCAATAAATAAAACAAAGTTCCATTCATGAGAGATGGTACATATTCTGATCACATATTCTGAATAAAAATTGCAGTTTTTGATAAACAAAAAATTAATAAGGACCTCAAAATAGACTAAGCAAATTTTATAGATTATTTCTTAATCTAAGAACAGTAAAACTAAAAAAAATAAATAAATCTGTCCAGTCAGTAAAGGATACTTAGGGTACTTTGTTTGTTTGTGACAGAAACTTCATCAAAACCTTTAACAACTAAACATTTGTGATAAAAGATTCCTGACTTTTGCAAAGTCAAGTATAACACTTTAAACATGTTTAAAGAATACAACCTAATCACTAATCAATATTTAATAAAAATTGTAAGAGTATTTCTTTCAAGCTAGGCTTCTTAAATTTTAATAAAATATAAAAAAAATAAGCACATATATGATTGGCAGTGAGTGAATCAAATGATAAGCAGTTTAATGTCTCTGTTTTTATCCTTAAATGTTTCATATTCGTATCACTTTCCAAAAAAAAAAAAAAAAAAAAAAAAAAAAAAAAAAAAAAAAAAAAAACTTACAAAAATAAACAAACAAAACAATTTCTATCTTAAATAGTAATATTTCTTAATAGCAAATTACTATCCATAAACTAAATATTTTTTACTTTAAATGAGATGAACACTTTTAATTGTTTAAATTTTCATTGTGATTTATATTATTTGAAAAGTTGAAGAATTTCCACAACATTTCATACATCATTTTATTCAAAATAGCATGTAAAATTAAAAAATTAATGGATCTATCTACGAAGATTTAACTAAAGATCCATTAACAAAGATTTAACTCTTTATTCAGCATAAAAAATAAATAAATTCATTTATGGTAGATAGTTCGAGTTTCCTATAAATCCGAGTTAGTGAAAAAAAAAGTTTTGCTCCCAAACAATGACCAACGCACACATAACAGGTGGAACGATTACTACAATTGGTTTTACAATGATTACTACAACTGAATGTTGAGAAATAAATTTGTGTGTCAAACGCTGAAACACGTGAGCAGTGTGTTAAAACATAAAACATTAGACAAATATTTTAAAGTACAATAAACCTGATGCAGTAATATTATGAATATTGTAACTTGGTGTAATGCAGAAAATGCATCTTGATTCTCTAATGTAACTAAATTTTCTTTAAATATAATATCAATTAAATAATGAATTTTAAAGATTGCTTTATTTCCTTTTATATAAATATTTATCAAATTTTAAGTTTGCAATAATTCAAGTTTAGGAAAGTTCGAGGTAGACTCGGACCTCATCCACCTCAAATTATTGAGCCTCTACTATATAAAGACTCAATACATAAAAAAGAAAAAATTAAATTTATAAAAAAAAACACAATAAGATTACCATTTTTAAGACATAAAATTCAGCTTCCTGTGGTCCAGATAGTTGTACTCTGTTAGCCATATCAGTTAGGGAAAGGGTTAAAAATGTCTAAAATAAGAAAAGAAAATTAAGTAACTGAAGATTTAAAGAACTATATACTTATGGACTTAATAAGGTATATTAATATGTTGATGATTTTATGATTGATAAAGATCAATAATTTAAAAAAAAATCTAAAGCAACTATTATTTTCTTAGGAAAATCATTAATTTTAAAAACTAGATTTTTTAAAAAAATAAATCCTCAAGTGCAAAATATTTTTATACAATATTATCTATAAATATATGCTTCAGGTTGTGAGTTGTGATTTTTTTAAAGTCCGGTTTAATTGATAGTAAAGGCTTTATACAAAGAAATAATAAAAATGGGATACAAGATAATTATTATATTTCAAAACAGACAAATAAATTAGAAGTGTGAGTGAGTGAGTGAGAGAGAGAGAAGAGAGAGAGAGGGAGGGGGAATGGTTAATTTTAATTTCCTATTAGCTGTATGTAATTTAATTTGCCAGTAATAAACATACTTCAATTGAATACAAATGATTTTAAAACATATATCTAGTTAACATAGATCAATATAGAAGAAAGAATTGTTTTGTACAGAGAAACAAATAATAATTTTTTTTTTAATGTATGCTGATTTGAACCAATTTACTATATTTAGCTAATCGACCGGGAAATATTTTGCTCGGTTTTCCCACCATCTTAAATTAGAACGATTATGAAAAAAGCGGAAATTGGACTCATCCTTGAAGTAGAGTAGAGGAAAATGTGAGGAAGGGGAGAATCCCCCCCCTGTTTACTCAGAGAAACCTCATTTCCTTTGTGACCTTGAAGATCTTTAGATCGAGAGGAGGCAGGGAAGAAACAAATGTTTTATTTTCTCCTTTAGGCCGTCAATCAAACTCAAAGGAGTGGTTTTGCTTTCTCTTTGTTTTACGAGGGGGTGCAGAAAATGCAATGCACATGCATATCAGTGAACAGAAGATCGATAAACAATGTGTACACAATAATTTTTTTTTATTCATAAAATTTATCATTAGGGTTATTTTTTAAAAATTCCGTTCACCTTATTGATCTTGCCTTGTTACGGGTATTAATATTTATGTTAGTGCCTTTTTTAGCTATCGTTTCAATAATTTTCACGTGTTGTTTTTATTTAGATTAATAAGTTTTCCTTTTATTTTATAGTCCCCCCGTATAATTAGGTATGAAATATATTGCGTTATTCAATCATTGGTTTTGTTTATATTAGTTAATTCAGGAATTGTAATTATTTTTAAAAAATAAATATGAGAATTTTGTATTTTTTAAACTTGTGTTTCCTGTCTAAACTTGCAAATTTTTTTATTCTTCTAAATGTTATTTTTCTACCATTTTTTTTTATTTTTAAATTTAGGAGTGCTTTTCTTTTTTTCTCTTACTTTAAAATGTGTTACACTCCTTCCTTGTAATTAGGGTTCGATAAAACATCGATTAACGAAATTTTTTAGTCGATCCAGAAAACCGAGAAATTCAGACATCCGGGATGGTCTCGAGCATCCCGGATAATTGATTCTCTACTGTAATATTATCAGATGATTAGGCTGGTAAATATATATATATATATCTGATTTAAAAATTAATTTTTATTGATTTAAAATCAGTAGCAAAATTTGCTAGTGTTAATGTAAGAAAACCAGGTTTTTAACTAGCAATTTCCCATCACTGTGGGAAATATCACAATAAAACACTTACCGTATGGCTAATGTTCTATATTTACATTGGTGTGATATATTAAATACTATTCTACACTATTTTAATGTTATAGATATCTTTAATGTGTTTCATTATAGAAAAAAAGAGTGTGCACTAAATTTGAAAAAAAAATACAAGATTTATTAATTTTTGTTCAAGAATTAATTTATTATCATTATTAATCCAAGTTTGGCTAGAATAATTTATTTATAAAATATTGAAAGGCAATTATTTTGGTAAAGTGTGACACAATTCTGAAAGCATTATACTGCTCTTAAAATCTGCAATTTTAGATCCGTGAGAACTTTTTATACTGACTCATCCTATCAAAGTAATTATAATTTTTCACCTCATTTAAATAAAGTTTACCTTGTTACTGTCTTGTCTTCACATCATACAGCCTCAGCATCACAAATCGTGGATTACCATCGAGAGTTAAATTTAAACTTTAAAAAGGGTAGAGCAAATAAACTAAATAGAGCACTATATCCTTAAGAAAATGCATTGTATTTCGTAGAAAAGAGTGTGATCCTTTAGGAACCCATAATATTCAGCAATTTTAATATTTGGATACAATGGAGGTTCTAGAGTTATCATCAATTTAAAATTCAAGTGTTGTAATAATTATACATAATAAACAAAAAAGTTCAATAATAAACAAAAACTTATGAACAAATATGCCCAATGAGTGCAATTTTCAAATATTTATTATCAGAGCGATAAGAAAAAATAGAACATAAAAAAAAAAACACTAAAGAAATATTTTGAAAGATTAATAAACTTAAAATTCGTACTTAACAAATAAACATATCAAACAAATATGTGATACTAAAATTTAATGTGTTAATGATAACGATTTTTTTTAATTTTCTAGAACTAATATTTTACTATGTAACAGAATAATAACAACAAAAAATTGTTTTGATTAATTAATAGAATAAATTTCTTTACTTTTGTTAGTCTCTGAATATTTTTCTTGTATAAAAAGGACATACATTGCTTTACAAGACCCATGTTATTATCCTAAAGAAAAAAGTATATATATTTATATATATTATTCATAACAATAACACAATATTGCAATAATTAACATTTTGTTTTAATGTATACAACCTTTTTAGGAATTTCACACATTTTAAAACAATAATAAAAAGGAGAATTTATCTTAAAATTGCATGAAATTAATATGCTATATGAGAATAAAGCAATTTTCGAACTGAGAGCAAAAAATTTACCCCATCTGGCAGTGTAATTAGAATTAAATTTAGCATACAAAATATGTCAGTAATTTCAAACTTCAGCAGGAAAAATCAGGCAGATTTTTATAAGTTTCAAACTGACACTTTGGTGGCTTAGTTGTTAACGCACACTGTAAGGAAGTTGGGTTTGATCACTCAAGGAGTACCAGCTCATTCCGGAAGTAAAAGCGGCCTGAACGCAGCAGAGAGCTTACTGCAAAAATCTTACCATTGGTCATGAAATTGTAGAATCCTAATATCTATGAATCACCTGGTACAAAACAGGTTGTTGTGGTAAAAAATTTATTTAATTTGTAACAGTTTTTCAAAACATGAATTTTTAATTAGTAATAAACAGTTTTTGCTTTTCATATTCAGCAACTTAAAAAAATATATTAATTGAAGTATTAATTTAAAAAGAAATTAAACATGCTTAACTATACCTCATAAATTTATCATGAGCTACTTTGACTTAGTTCACGTTAAGATTTTTGGTATTTAATTATGAATTAACAAAATTTTCTGCCTACACTTCAGGGTATGCAGAATCTCATTATTTTAAAAAGTATTAGGTAAAGCAGCAATTATGCCAACCGTTTTAAAATGTAATAACTCAAAATTTATTTAGCCTTTTAATGAAAGCAACAATAGAAATACAAACCAGAAAAGTTAGAAACTTCATGAATTGAATAAATTTACTTAATAAACAAAAGGTAAAAGAAAAAGTTGCAAAAAAAAAATCTACATTTCCTTACTCGGACAAACACTTCATTATGTTTGGTAATAGCAGCTCGCACATCAATAGGGCTATTAGAGCTATAAGCTACAGCAAGATCATGATAAGCTTGACTAAGAGGCTAAAAATTAAGAAATTACAGATGAGTTTTTTTTTTTTAAAAATTTATGCTTAAATGTAAATAAGTTAATAAAAATAAGACTACCTTAATAAATCTTCCTACAACTTGAGATGTGAATTTGGGAAGATTTGGAATCTAATAAATGAAATACATTTTAAAGTTTTAAAAAATGATAATAATAATAATAAAAAACTAGCAAAATGGTGTACATACGATAACTTACCCTTCCATACAAAATTAAGGACACCAGTATGTATTTCTTATAAGCTTCTAGCATAATATGACTTACAGCCATGCTTGGAGTAGTGATTGCCTTAAAAAAAAGAAAGAAAATTAAAACAAAACGCTTATCAACATTAGTTTCATAAATGCTTTGATATGACTTATCAAGTGCAGAACATTTGGAAAAAGTGTACAACTAACAACACTTGAAAACATCTTGTAATTAATTTTATACACTCTTATAATATTAAATATTGCAACTAAAAGATAGAATGGTAAGAAATATAAAAAAAAATATGCATTTGAATAAGCTACTTTTTTCATGCTGCAGACTGGAATACAGTAGAAAAATTAAGAATAATGAAAAGTTAATGTCCTGCTGACATTTTTATAAAAATTGAAAAATTAAATGACTTTAAATATGCGATGGTGATTCTGGCAGGATAATTACCCCAATAAATTAAATTAAGTTAGATAACAAAACATAAAATTAATGATTAAAATCAGAACTGCTTTTGAAATAACATGCAATGTTGGTTTTTCTGCATAATTTGTCAATGTTCAACTTGAAAACATCTTTTTTCCCTATTTCAAAACCTCAAATTTAATTTCTTAACAAAAAAAAAAAAATGTTTTTTAAAATAATTTCGCAAAACCTTATGAAAGGCAAATTGACATAAAATTTAGCTCTTTAGGTAAAATAACTTTAAAGTTACAACTGTCAAAAATTTCATGAAGAGTTGGTGAAATTTAAAAAATGTATAACTCAGAAACAAATGTTGCGAAGAATCTGAAACTTAGTATTTTTCAAGTCAGAAGCAGATTTAACAAATATGCCCAAAACCCTTGTAACCTAAAGAATGGACCTAAATTTTTCTTCTTCTTTCACGTAGAATTATCTTACATTAAAATGATGTTGGCTCTCTTTTTTTTGCATCAATGAGAGCCCGAATATCTTTGGAGAGAATGTCCATAGCAATTGATTATCAGACAGCTATTGTAGCTAAAATTAGAGGTGGTTAGTTACTCTGCATTCTAATTTGTCACAAAGATGTTATATGGGGTGAGAGGATCTGAGGAGGTGCTGGAAGAGAAGTGGACCTTCACTAAAATACAGCCAAAGTTAGGAGAGTAGCATTCTCCTGAATGTCCACATACAACTCAGAGTTCAGGTTTCCTTCCACAGGAGCTTAGGAAATCAGACCAAACCTAGAAAAATACTACCATACTATGTTTTAGGTGGATGCCTGGATACTTTTGGCTAGAACCAAAAAATTTAAGATTTCCTATCTTCAAGTTTGATAAAAAAAAAAAAAAAAAAAAAAAAAAAAAAAACAATAATCTCTGACTTTTTCCCTACTTTCAGAACCTTTCAAAACCCTGATATCAGGTTTCCTTGACCCTATGGGTACTCTGTATAATTACAGTTGTAATTGAATTAAATAATCTTTACAACTTACTACTTCATAGAAATACAATGCACGCTCATAGTTCTTCAGACTTGTATAAATCATTCCACCATAATAATAATAAAGGAGAAAATTCTTAGTGTCATATGTTCCCTTCTAAAAGAAAAAGAATATATATGTAAATAAAAAACTTAATTTAAAATGACATTTGAAGGCAAAATGGATCAATGAAATCTGTAATGAAATAGAAATAATATGTTAAAACAGAGAGACACAGATTTGGTTATTACAATAAGTATAAGTACAGTACAGTACATCAGTGCCAATATGAACAATGATTACAGGATTTAGTTTGTGTTTTATAAATTATTTTCTACTTCATTATGTGAGTGAAAAATTATTTTAGTAAAAAGTTCAAACAGTAAGAATTCTAATGTGTTATTTTAGCTTCATTTTATGAAGCAATTATAAAAAAAACCTATTAATAACATTTTTGAATTGAGCTAATTGAATTGAACTAAAATAAAAAAAATAATTAACAATAAAAAGTAATACAAAAATAAACTTAACTTTTTAAAACAGTGTATAGAAAAAAATGCACTTAATTTACATTTTGAAAAATAAAAACATTTAAGAACACAAAATCAATGCCAAGAGAAGAGAAGAAGTTGAATATGAAAATATAAAATAATAATAGAAAAGTTACAATGAAAACTAATGTATCAATAAAAATATTAGAATAAATAAATTTGTTGAGATAGTATAGTTTTAACTTACCTCTTTATTGATGTCTGTTACATCAATGTCCAAAAATTGCAAAGCAGGCTTCATGCATTTAGACAGCAGACAAAGCTAAAAAAACGATTACAAAATATGCTGAATGTCAATTATAATTTAATAATTCCCGAAAAGATATTGAACTTTTACGATGATTTTTTCTTTAAATTTTTGATGCTAGAAATTTAATTACTCACATGTTTCTAAATCAAGGATACATTAATTCACACTTCCAAATGCAATTTAAAAAATTTGGTCGCAAGCAAAAATTTCTTGAAATATTTCTGAAAATCTATTTTTATATCGAACTAAGAATAATAAATAACTTTCACATTGAATTTTTTTTAAAAAAAAGCTTTATTTAACATATTATTTGTTTTAGACCACACTTTTACCCAAAAATTGTAAAAATTTAACATTGTTTAAATTTCTGTCCCATATTTGCTGTTAGTACCCATAATTTTGAAACTCAGCCAGATATTATACTGAAGCATACTAAACAAAATATGCTACTATACCAAAGGAAATAATTATAGGCTAATTTAAACAATTATAGACAAACAGATAAATTTAAACGATAGAATATTTATAACTATGCTCAATAAAATAAGTATATTAAATATTATTCTTTCAATACTTTTTTGAAAATGAAACATGGCCTCTAAGGAATGCTGTATAATTACAGGACAGAAAAAAAGAATAATTCAACATTTAAAAAGGACAACAAAATAGAAAAGCTCATTTTTAAGATTTTAAAGGTTCCGTGTCTCTTAAAAAACAGATAATATTGTTTTAAAAATTAAAGAATTACAAAAAAGGGATGTGCTTTAAAATTCATAAATATAAATAGTGGCCAATTAGAAACATGAAAAACACATACTTGACATAGGTAGGCATGTATTGTAGTTAACTGAGAAGGAAATAATTGAATTTTCTGGATTGCTTTGATAAGTAGAGGTATCCCTCTAATATACTGAAAAATCAAATATGCATTATAATCAAAAATCTATTTCAATATAATTGTATTAAAATATATTTGTTAAGTTGAAAAAAATATCACCAACTACTCTTTGACATATACTATAGTATGAGTAAAAGAGAAGATATAAAATAATTAAAAACAAAACTTATGAATGCTTTCATGTCCTAAGTAAAAATTTTAAATACTTATATAAACATAAATGAAGAGAATATAAATAATTTATATGAAATTAATCTATAAAATAACAATAAAAATTAAACTAATTGGTTTATCTGAGATTATATTAAAACACAATTAATGGAAGTTTGTAAATGATAACATGCCCTGAAGGCTATAATGTCACTAAATATCTGATTGCATTATTTATTAAATATTATCCACATAAAATTAAGAATTATATCATATTGAATGTCTTAAAAAAAGAAACTGTTTTTCTCTTTAAAAAAAAAACTGTAATGCAACCAGATATTGTCACTTTTTAAGACTTACAGAAAAACATTTTGAGATAAAAGTTATATATATGTTTAAATTGAGATAAAACTTTTTCAAATTGAGATAAAAATTTTTAAGTGAGTTAACAGAATTATTTTCGATAGAGTACATTGAAAATTGCATTCAAGATTCAATGGAAAAAAAAAATCAAATTCAAAAAAAGACAATTGTAATTTTTTTAAAAGAAATTTTATGTTTTATGAAAGAGTCTGAAAATTAACAAAAATACCCCTTAAAAATATCTTATAATAAATGTATTCAAATAAAATATAACTTTTTGTACAAAAACAAAAAGAACAGTAGATATAAAAGTTAAAATTATTTTTAAAAGAAAAATATATACCTGTTGTCTTTCAATTAAACTACTGGTAACTAGATGACAAAGTCTCACAACTAGAAGCAAAATAAATAAAATTAATATGTTATAAACGAATATTACAAATTTAACAAAAATCAATATATTTAATAAATATGCGAAATAAATAAATAACATTTTATAAATATGTGAAAATGATAGGAAAAAATTTAAAATTACATATCTTTTTAAAAAATTCAAACAAAGCGAATACGTACACATATCAGGTGCAAATCGAACTTGTTCGCCATTACAATTGTTGATGAATTCTTGAACTCTAAAGAACTGAGCATCATACTCTGGTATATTTGGCATGTTGAATTTCACTGTTCTATAAAAACATGAGTACTTTAATAAAATGTCATAGAAAATAATGTCTATACTTAAAGGGCAAGTCTGGGAAATTTATGGGGTGGCCACTGGATACTAGAGGTAGATTTATTGGTGACCACTTCTTTCTTTCTACTGGCAACTTTTAGCGTGAAAAGTATTTTAATGATTTTGCTTCTAAATTTTAATAAAAATATCTTTTTTTTAGTTCAAAAATGTTAATATAAGAAAAATTATAAAAAAAATTATATATTATATTATATAATATTTATATTATTATTATTATAACATATCATGTTTTAGGGAAANTATTGAAATTCTATCTTGAATAGTTTTTTCACAAAGTAGATGTTTGCATTTTTTGATCAGGAATTACCCCCAGGTCACCTTACATAGTACGTTTGATTTCAAGACTTCTTTTTCTCATAATCAATCTTAGATTTCTGTATCAGAAGGAAATATAATAGTTCTGGAAAATCAAGCCTCTTAATTAGAAGATAACATATTGCGGTTAGAATTTCTGCAAATGCCACTCTTAGCTTTATTTATCTCTGCATTTTTCATTGCTCATTCTTTCGTTAATTTTTTTGATTTTTTACATTTCAACATAATAAAGATTTTTTCCCTCTTTAAAGTAATATTTTAATTCTCATTTATATAATCTATTTTGATTTTGAAAACAATAAACTTTGTTTCAAATTAATAAGTAATTATTTTTATGTCAGATATCGTTATTTTTTTTTTTTTAAACATTACATTTGTGATCACTTATTTCTATCTCATATTTTGCTTTTCTTTTATTGGTCATCAAAATTGGCTACAGGTGGAACTTTCTACCTATTGCAAGAGTATGCTCGCTTTCACAAGTAGCCCTGTGCAGGGGAGGATGCGGAGGGGGGCTTCTCTCCAGATGTCATATTTAAGTGTTGTGGTTGCAAATAAAACCAGGTAAAATATGAATAAAACCATCAAAATATCATTTGTTTAATTTAGAATAATGTATTTCACCTCAGTAACCTAATAAAATCTNATTAAATTTCACATATGAATATAGGTTTTTGACATTTTCGACATTTTTGACAATGAGGTTTTTGACGTGACGGTTTAAACCATGGTTTAAACTGTCAAAAACTGTCACATGTCAAAAACCTGCCAACCCTGGCTACAGGTGGAGCTTTCTACCTATTGCAAGAGTATGCTCGCTTTCACAAGTAGCCCTGTGCAGGGGAGGCTGGGGAGGGGGGCTTCTCTCCAGATGTCATATTTAAGTGTTGTGGTTGCAAATAAAACCAGGTAAAATATGAATAAAACCATCAAAATATCATTTGTTTAATTTAGAATAATGTATTTCACCTCAGTAACCTAATAAAATCTGAAAAACTAAGTTGTGCTTAAAGTTATATATATTGCGAGTTTCAAATAGATCAATTACATATTTCATTTATATATTTTTATAGAGTAAATAATTCAAGTTTTATTTTTTGAGAAACAACTCAATTCCATTTTGGGCATTTTAAATAATCATTATGCTTTAGAAGAGCTTGAAAAGTATATGTATTTGGAACAATTTTTTTTCTTCTTTAAAATGTTACATTTTTATTTTTGCAGTTGTTTCTTGAGAAATGTAACTTGAGTCAGTATTCAGAACAGTTTTTTAGTTTAAGCACATGCATATACTTATATTTAGCACACATACTTGATAAAGGGTAGCTATATGCATTTAGATGTATGAGATCTTGCTGCATAAGCAACATTATGCCTCACAGCAATGCAAACAAATTCAGTTTCAGCCTATCAGAATTTCCCATCTACTATATTTGTACTGTAAATATTGTATTTTGTAAAGTTTAAAAAATTATCAATGTTAATAGTTATAATAGACTAATTATTTTTATATTGCTGCAATTATTCTAAGAACAATTTATGGTGTGAGTTGTCTTTGCTATTGTATTCTTTATAATGGACAATTCTCATTATTGTATAATGACTCTCTTTATTGTATAATGGACAATTCTCAAAAAAGGATAATTTTTTAAGTCCCAAGAGTGCCCACCAACCAAGGTTTCACTGTGTTAAAAACTGTCATACAACCAAGAGATGATAGTGTCAATAGTATTCAAAGCTTATTTTAGATCCTACACTTGTAACCATATATTCTATTCTGTTGTACTATTATTCAGATTCTATGCTATTGTGGGGAAAAACCAACAGACCATGCCAACCTTCATTTATCAATAGGTACTTCGTGATTGAATCAAGTTAGCATGTCTTATATACCAGTGAATTGATGTTTAATTTTCGTAATGGAAAGTGGTAGTTATGCCACAATACTATATCACCAGAATTTTATCAGGGATAGAATTCGATGGATGGATACCACTAGTTGCTGTACTTGTGAAAGACCGTGAGAGCTGCAATTAAGGTCACTGGGTTTTTGAGTGCTGAATGTGAGAGATGTATTAATTTCACAGCTGTGTTCGCTCCTCTGTTGCCTTTACCAGTCGAGTGTATATGTTGAGTATGATTGAAACTGAGCAGTAACAATGTGAGGAGATGGATTATGTCACAGTCACAAGTCAACTGTTTAATGTGTACCATCCAACAAAGTGGGCGTTACTGTCAAGATTTCGGCGAAGTGGGCGTTACAGCATGTTCAAATCACGTCCGGGTCACCAATGTGGGGAAAGACCATGCCAACCTTCATCTATCAAAAGGTACCTCGTGATTGAATCAAGTTAACATGTCTTATATGTGAGAATATCACTCAACTCTACTGAAACTTTCAGACACTGAATCTGGCAACACCATCGCCGAGACTCATCTGATCAGTCTGTTTACAAACACCGCGTCGTTCAGACGCTCATGTCATTCATTCGTAATTTCCATTCTATTTTTATTTACATCAAATAAATATTTTCAGTTGATACCTGTTTCCTACGTATCATTGCTCAAATTAAGCTCTCACTAACATTATATACCAGTGAATTGATGTTTAATTTTCGTAGTGGTAGTTACGCCACACTATAAAGCTATTAGTATCATATTTTCTAATTCTGTTTTCTCCTTCTCAACCTCAACGTTTTTGATAATTTAAGCTAGTTTGTTTAACTGGTAGAAAGCTAGTTTTCGACATAAAAAACAAACAAACATTGATGTATACAAATTACTAATCCTATTGTTCAGTAAAATTTATTTAAGCAAGTAATAAGAACCATTCAATAAGTTCACAGCAACTGAAATCTCCAAGTGCTACTACCTATTAATTAAATATATACATAAAAAAATGGCAGGTAAAAAAATTAATAAAAATATAAGTTCAAACTGTAAAATATTTTACTTACAAGACAGCTAAAACTCCAATGGAATGTTCCTGAACATCTAATGTTTCTAAAACATCATCCAAAATATTGATGTTCTTCATTAATAAAGTTGTGCTCTTTGACACAAATTCATGAAGAGATTCGAACGTAACTATGAAAGAGAATAAAAATAAGCATTCAATACACTACATCAAGTCCAATACACTACAAGGTTTTATCAAGATATACAAAGTAAAATTTAACTCACCAGGGAAGGATAGATTTCTAACTTTGACGATAAACTGTTCCAGGGCAGTAACCATTTTTAAATATGTCTATTTTTCGTAAGATTTCAAAATAAAGATAACTTTTCCCTGAAAATTTACTCGCTTTGTTTTGATTCGGCTTGACACTCAACTACTTTCACTTTAAAGCGGTTAGCAGTTTATAATCAAAATGTCAGCTGAATAATCTTTGCCAAAGATTCTTTGATAATTTATTTTTTGGACAGCACAAAAAATTAACTTTTATGAAAGAAAAATTAAAAAATTTTGAAAGCTCTCTCTCAGTCTGCGAGTCTCTGAAGTATTTATAACTTGAATTCATTTAATCTTAATCGTATCGTATCGTTTGTTGTTATTATTCTTTTGTTTATATTGAAGACATACATGATAGAAAGTTAGAAATCGTTTGATAATATATTTTCTATACATCTTAAATCTAATATATTTTTAAATATGGATGATTATGATGCTTCAGACAGGTAAAGACTTCAAAGTGCGATTTTTTACTCATATTTAATTTGTGTTTTGCAGTTATATGGCATTTCAAAAGTAAGATAGACTGTCCTTTAAATGCCCGTTAATAATATCTTTTAATTTGTTTTTCAATTTCACCTCATAACCTTTATTTAAAATCATAGTTTTTCCCATAAGAAAGTCTTAAATTATTTTTATTACATAGGCTTATGAACATTACTATCAAAATAGGATAATAATTTAATTTTATACTAATGAAATCTAAGTTTTTGTGACAAAGCCTTTATGAATGTCGACTTCTTTTATTTTTGTTAAAAAATATCAATAAAAAAGTTTTAAGAAATTTTTTTCAACAGGCGTTTTATTTCTAGATAAATCCTATCGGTAGAAAATTTTCATGTTATCTACACTTGTTGAACTATCTAAAGCTAAACTATTTAAAAATAATTGCCATAATGAATGTAAGTTGTGAAGGTAAATTTCAGCTCAAATTTTCAGAAGTGTTAGCCACATCAATGTATTGCAAGTATTTATCAACAAAATATTTAGATAAATTTTTCTTTAAATGAATATTATACCCAATTTTATAAGAACTAGGTTATGTCTTAAGCTTGCTCATATCTTTTACTGATATTCGTTTTTTGATTTTTATGAAGATATTTTAGTATTGGTACATATTCACGCCAACAACCATTATCTACGTGTTTTTTAACAGGCAAAATTTTAAAAGTTACGCCCGTATTCACCATTGACCCTAACCCTCAGTCAGAGTTCAAAACAGGTTTTATGAGAGCAACTCTAGGTCAGAGTCCAAAATTTCATTTCACCGTGTATGTAACTGCGAGTTACTCTAACCCAGAGTTAAGTAACTTTAACCTGAAGATGTTCCCGGTTAGAGTAACCGCGCAGGCGCAGTAAACGAGTGTTTCTTCATTTACTTCGTTTTCGCCGTTGGTATTTTTTAGATTTCTGCTCTTTTTCGTTTGATAATTTTAATTTTAATGTTAATAATGTTCGGTTGCTTTTTTTATGTCATTTTTTTTTACTAGATGTAACTATAATTAATTTATATCAAATAAATGCTCATTAATAAAATGAAAATTAAATTTTCTTGAGTTAATATCTTCAACAGAAGATACTATATATCTTTCTCAAATTATTACTAGCAGTCGTTACAGCACTTAACTAATTTTTCACTCGAAAAAAAAGTCGTGGATAATAAAGATTGCGGCTACAATAATTCAAATGAATAGTGTGAGTAAGAAGATTGTAAATAATTTAACTAACTTTTACTTATTTTTTTAAAAGAAAGAAAGCAATCGATACTTGAAAGAAATATAAAATTTAAAAAAAGAATATAATTCATTAATGTTTTTAGATTTCAATAATATTTATCGAGATGATAGATCTTGCCCAAAAATAAAAATAGTTTAGAGTTGAACTTCCAAAATAATGTGCAATATTTAGATATGAAGATAACGAAAAGAATTTAAAAATTTTTTAATCCATAAAATAAAGCTACTAATTAAATTTAAAAACATATACATTATTTTAAATATATATTAGAAATTATGCTGAAATAAATATTACTTAATCAATGCAAATTTTGATCCGAGGTAACATTTTAACTACACAATAATTTGCATCAAATAACTTTGCAAATCAGGAAATTTAGAATTTTATAAGCATAAAATAATCTGCTGAATATTTCAAAAAAATAGGATCATTTGGAAGAGATTTATTGCTTAAAACTATATGAAATTAAAATGCCCGTCTTTAGTTATAATTTTTTATATATAGCCTGACTACTTTATGACATATGGGGCATAATATATATATATATTATATATGGGGCATAATATATATATATATTATATAACTGATATATTTCCATGTACAATTATCTAAATAATAAAATTTTTAAAGGCATAAAATTTTTTTTAAATTTTAAAGTTTCGGAATATTTGTTCCGATTATGACATTTTTCTTTAAAAAAATTGTTATCTTATTCACCATATCACCGACGTCGATTCTCTCTTATCATCAGCAGATGGCAGCACAATAGTAGTCATTTATAACTTCTGAATAATATGAATGTGTTGATTTATGCTTATCTGTACTAAGAAGTTTATTATATACAATTTCATTTAAAATTAAAAAAAAAAAAATTTTTTTCAGTGGTTTAAGTTATCGATAATATGTTATGAAGGGGAAGAAAAAAAAAGATTAAAAATACGCGCATAAGGATGATAATGATGTTAGCATAATCCCCTTGATCATAGTGTAAAATAAAAGTATTAAATAATTGTGTGAAATAAAAGTATTTTTAATTGAATTTCAGTTACATTTCTATGGTTGCTTGCGGCTTTATGATATCCATAATAATAAAATATCTAAATTCATAATAATAAAGCTCGGATCCTTTTGCTCATCAATACAAGTCAGTTAGGAAAACGAAACTAAACATATTTTTTATTTGACCAGTAAAAGAGAGATTCAAATTTAATTACTCGATGCAATCTTTTTTTCTTCTTTTAATAGAAATTTTTTATAAAAAAATAGCAACGAAAATTGAAAATAAACGCTGTTAATACGGCTATAAATCTACCGCCTGTAACTGCCGGTCAAGTAACCCGCAGTTAAGAAACCGACGGTCAAAAAATATTGGTGGAATCGCTTTTGAACTCTCGGTCAAAGTTTCGAAACTGGGGGTTTAGGAACTGGGAGTTACACGTTAGGTCAGAGTCAATGGTGAATACGGGGGTTAGTGTTTTGTTGGGGGTGTTTGGATGTAAGTTATACCTTTTATATTGGTTCCCTGCTGTGCTGATTCATTAAAGTTTCTTTTGGCCACTGCTCTGAAATGGCCAAACCTTGTTGATTATTTTGATGTGGATACTGATGACAAAATCTTCATCTATCTATAATTTATTTCAAAGAAATCATCTTTTCAGAATTAATCTTTTAACTTAGCTTCAAAGGCCACTTAACATTACAATAATAAATTGCATCGAATAGAAGTGTTAATCTGTTTAATAAGGTTTATATTAAGTCAGTCTATTTGACATTTTTAGTCCTTTTTGCGATTCCATTATTTTCATTTTTTTTTTTAATTGACGAAATATGTTTTATATTTTCAATGTTTCTTTAAATTGAAAGTTGTCGTATTTCTTTGAATTGAAAGTTACAAATTAATGAGAAGTATTCATTTTATAAAGTAAATTTATGTAGTAATGTTATTTTGTATCTTTTTAAATAATGTTGAAATAGGACATTTTCATGTGTATAGTAACAAGTAAAAGGATACTCGTTTTAATTTTTTTTTTTTTTTACTTTTTTGTTTTTTGTTTTGTTTATCAATATGAAATTTTTATTTGCATGTTAAGTTGAGTTGTAGTTTGTTAATTAGTGTTAATATATGAGTATATTCAAAATTTACAGTTACCTAATCTTTTTTTTTATCATCTTTGTATATTTGTTAAATAAAAATTGGATAGTTTTTTTAGCTGCTTATTGAAAATAACAATAAATAATTAAAAAAGTTTTATGAAATATAATGATTTAAAATATTATTTTATTTTTTTGTTTTAAATAAAATAAAGATATGTTGTTTGAAAAGAAAAAACTTTTGACATTTTTTTCCCCAACTCTAGTTATAAACAAGGTCAGTAAGTTGTTGACGATTTAAACCCTGGATAAAACAGTCACGTCAACAATCTAAAAAAATTGCATTGATATATTAATAATATTGATTTAAGAACATACTACATGTAGTGTTGAAGCTGAAATATTAAGTATTACTTTTCTTGTATAATTTAGCATATGTTATGAAGAAAATTTATTAAGAAATAGCCTTTCTCATAATGCAATTATACTTTAAATATATTATCACTAGAAGTGCTAATTTCTAAGAATTTTTTTCTATTTTATTATATTAAAATTAGTAAATAAAATAAATCGTGGATAATTCTATTTATAAATGAATTTAGGCTTGTAATTTGGAATTTGTATTGTGTAAAGAAAAGAAAGCTTGCAAATTACCTAAAGCAGCCAAACAAAATAAAAGTTTTTGTAATTTTTATGTATCAAATATATTTTAAAGTAAAGCATTCCCGCCACAGCCCTTTGTGAGCTAGGGGGTCTTGGAGGATATTGCTCCACAATTTCGTAACCAACGGCATGATTGTGGCAATGGGGTAAGCATTGTGCACAAGTAGCCTTTACTTCCCTGACAAGCTGGCACCCATCAATCTGCTGCTGGGTGGGTTTCAAGCTACCACTGCGGATTGAACCAACACCTCCTAGAAAGAACAGGCCTCAGCACGGGTTACCATAAATATCCCTTAATAGTCTAAACGTAATGACATATTTTGTATTTTCAACCACTGCGCAGCTTAGTACCCCTAACGTAATGACATCTTTCTTATTTTTCGTCTACTGCGCAGTTAACTTTGTCACATCGGACTACTAAATTGATCCGTGCTGAGGCCTTTCTACTTCTAGGCAGGGCCGGATTTACGTATAAGCTAAATAAGCTGTAGCTTGGGGCCCCGAGATGGCAAGGGCCCCCAGATCCAATTTTTTCCTTCTTTTTTTAAAGATTTATTCGGAGCTGGAGCCCTATGAAGCCTAAAATAATTTTTTTTTCTTTATTACATTGGCGAACGCTTTTCAAAATCTAATAGAAGTTTTTACAAGTATAAAATAATAGTTACTTTTTTAACCAAAAGAGCAATAAAAAGGCCTTTTGACTGATGAAAATATCCTGTAGCTATCAGTGATGGGAGTAGTCCATGGATCCTTAAAAGCGGTACTCCATGGAGTAGTCAAATAGCCGCCTCAATTTACACTGTGGGAAATGTTTTCAGCTCCTTTAAATTGCTGTGGGCTCTTTTGTCCACAGAAACACCCTTTTGCCTGATTTCTGGGCAAAAAATTTCTAGGGCTGTGGGAGAATCTTGTTTAGGGCCACTCTGTTTCGAGATTTCCGTTGTGTCTCATTGTCGTTAAGGAGCTTCTCGTTTAATTTTAACTTTTCTCTTTTGCAAAATATATGTTTTCCAATTTATTACAAAAGCTTTTTTTCCTTTTAATTATCCTAAATGTTTTAACTAGCTTAATTGTTTAATTTACTTAATTATTGTAATTGATTTTAATTTGTTATTCTCCAAATTAATCATGCATGAATCCGTGAACTCCTTTCTTTATTTATTTAAATGGTGGGCCACCATTCAATTCCCCCTTTGACAGGCCCATCTGCTAAAATTCTTGATTTGGTTTATTTTGGATGAAATTGAGATAACAGATGTGATTTTACTTTAATTTTACTTACTGCTAATAGACAGAAGCAACATGTGATATTGCTTGATAGAGCATTGAAATCAAGTGATCATCAGCTAAACAAATGTTTAAATATATATGTAAAAAATATTGTTCAAACCTCCTGNCTTAATCAAAAATTATAAATGTATAATAAAGAATTTCATTCTAAAAATCTGAAATTATTTCTGTACTTATATTAAGAATTTTTAAATAACTCTCTAGTGACATTTCTTTTTTCAGATTTGATTGTTTTACACCTTTTTACTGTTAATCTCATGTTTCATATACATAATTATTTTGGATACATTCCTGATTATTTATTGTAAATTAGATCTTAGAGATTGAATCTATTCCTTATTTTATTTTCAGGTGAAACGTTTTCTTGTTTATTTTTAGTTTTTAATTTGAAATATTCAATGGACAATATATTAAATTTTCTTTAGATACCAGATTATCATCTTCTATGCTAAATAAAATTTTGTTTGATGTGCTTTTTTTTTCTTCTTTATAAGGGATAATGTTTTTATTTGTCTCTTTAATCTGTATGCATTTTGATTACGTGATATATTACAATATTCTTTGTAAAAAGAAACATAATAAAAAACTTGACTGATAGATTTTTATAAAGTATTATGGTTTTCTTTTCTTTTAATTTATTTTTTTCCAATAAATGTTTTTGACAATTTTGATTTTAAGTAAGATATTGCATAAAAAGTAAGTAACTGTATTTTTTATGCGCAAGTCTTTCATATCTTTTAAACTGTTAAGAGATTGAAATGTTTCTATCAATTGCTTAAAAAATAAATTGGGGTCAACACGTCACTTGCGTGGATAGCATTGTCAGGTGCATAAATATGTAATAGTCAAAATTTGATTCTAAATTTTACTTTGTACTTTAATAAATATAATTATTGTTAATTATATATTGATGTATGCTTATCTGTTAGTAAAACATTTTTCATGCAATGATTTTGTCAGTATCCATCTAGGTTTTTTTATGGTTTCTTGAGATTGATATAGATATATTTTTTTACTAATATCTGCTACTTAAAATCACAGACAGAATTTTAAGGTTTCTTTTTAAGAAAATATGCTGGTAGATTTTTGTATTGTGTGAATAAATTTTTTTAACATCGAATGGCAACTAACTTACGCAATATCTTTATTCTATTATTTGATTTTGTATTATCATTATTACAGCCCAATGAAATGATTCCATTTTTATAAGATGTTAAACATATATGTAATGCCAATTTGCATTACTGATATTTGATAACATTATTATTGTTTACTTTCAGAGATATTCTAAAACACATGAATATTGCAATCATTAGAGAAATCTATGACGGGGAGAACGCTCATGAAGTTTTTGAAAATGAACTAGATCGTGCTTTAGAATCGAAGTGCTCATGTATAGTGATAGAGCCAACTAAACTCGGGGAAGAAACTGCAAGGTGGATTTCTGTCGGAAACTGTCTACACAAGTCTGCAATTTTAACCGGCTTCGGATCCATTCTATCTAGTTTTGCTTTTCCGGATAGTGTTTATGGTAATTTTCCTTTGTGTGGTTTAAGCTTGCTGTGTACTGGAGTGTATGCCCTATCCTGGCAAAGTGATCCCTGTTGTAAATACCAAGTTGAGACAAATCCTAGAAATCTTGAAAAGCTTCCTCTTCATACTTTAACGTCCTCTTCTCCCGTCGTTCTAGTTCGGAAGGATGACACACGTAGAATTGTTCTGCATTCTGCAATAACTTTTGTAGCTGTTGCTGTTTGTGCATTTAGAATATATAAAGGTGTAACATCTGCATAGTATATTTTTTTACATTGTCCGTAGTGTAATTGATGAATTTTATTCTATTGTAAAGAGGAAATGTTGATATATTCAAAGTTAATGAAGGAAATCTAAGTTGAGATTATTTCCATATTAAGTGATGTTTGCAGAAATTTTGTATTTTTAGTTTAGTTCTGGTTACATTTATTGCTATGTTTTATTGATAGAGCAATTAATGAAAGTGCATTTTAATATATTTCTTAAATCTGCTCACATCGGGTTATTATCCATTTTAATATTGCTTTTGTTACAATATTTTGATTCCTTTCATTAGTTTCAGTAATTCATAATGATATTAAGTTTTTATTTTTATTTTATGAAAAATTTATAATAACTTGGAACTACTAGTAGGGTTAGATTTTTTCTTTTCATTTATAATTTAAGTTACATTACACATGTGCTATGCATAATAATTACACAATATTATTATTATTTTTTTACTAAATTTGAATTAAAGCATTTTAAATTAAAAAGTGGAAATATATTGCTCATGTGAATTTCCTACCCATAATATATAATACAATTTCTGTTAGTGTAATCCAGTAATTAATAATACATATTATGTATGTTAACATGATGTCTAGCAATTCAGAATTAAATTGAGACAAACAAATTTCAGTTTTGCAGTTTAAAAGTTTTTTTTTTAATCATTTTAAAGCATGTTGTAATAAAAAATGTTTATTTTTTAAAGTGAAGATGAAAGGTAGGTGTCAAAACTGGATGATTTTTAAGCTATTTAAATTGTGAAATTATTTTCTAAATCGAACGAAAAAAAATTCTCCACGCTTAATTTTACTGCTTGGATCTCCTGAACAAATTGAATTGTTTCGAGGAATTTTTACTGAAATTTTGCTAATTAAATAGTTTTAAAAGTTTGACTAATTTTAGCTATAGCTATATTTCTTAATATTTTATATTCCCAGCTAAAAAATAAGTACAGACAAATCTTTTTGTACCAATTTTGTGAATTACAATTGCTGCAAAAGTGTAACCAAGTGTTTATTAATATTCATAAAGTGAACAAAATACAAAATTTATAATCATAAAGCTTTTTTAGTTATCATGACTTTAACTGATTAAAATATGAACCTATCTTTTCCTCAATATTTTAGCCTGTTTCAGAAATTAAAGGCAGTCAGCCCTCATATTAAAAATAATACTTAAAGGAAATTTAAAAAATTTCAAAATTTTTCTTCTTTATCCTTTTCAATATTTTATTACTAGTAATGTTACATAGTTTTTTTTTATGCTGAAAATTTGTTTTTTTATTAATTATAAAGAACTTTTTGTGTGTGCGATTGTCATATTTTGCTGTATATTGTAAGAATATGTAACAACATACTTTTTTTTTATTTTACGATTCAAAGTTATTTAAAAATGTTATAAACTTAATCAAAAATTATAAATGTATAATAAAGAATTTCATTCTAAAAATCTGAAATTATTTCTGTACTTATATTAAGAATTTTTAAATAACTCTCTAGTGACATTTCTTTTTTCAGATTTGATTGTTTTACACCTTTTTACTGTTAATCTCATGTTTCATATACATAATTATTTTGGATACATTCCTGATTATTTATTGTAAATTAGATCTTAGAGATTGAATCTATTCCTTATTTTATTTTCAGGTGAAACGTTTTCTTGTTTATTTTTAGTTTTTAATTTGAAATATTCAATGGACAATATATTAAATTTTCTTTAGATACCAGATTATCATCTTCTATGCTAAATAAAATTTTGTTTGATGTGCTTTTTTTTTCTTCTTTATAAGGGATAATGTTTTTATTTGTCTCTTTAATCTGTATGCATTTTGATTACGTGATATATTACAATATTCTTTGTAAAAAGAAACATAATAAAAAACTTGACTGATAGATTTTTATAAAGTATTATGGTTTTCTTTTCTTTTAATTTATTTTTTTCCAATAAATGTTTTTGACAATTTTGATTTTAAGTAAGATATTGCATAAAAAGTAAGTAACTGTATTTTTTATGCGCAAGTCTTTCATATCTTTTAAACTGTTAAGAGATTGAAATGTTTCTATCAATTGCTTAAAAAATAAATTGGGGTCAACACGTCACTTGCGTGGATAGCATTGTCAGGTGCATAAATATGTAATAGTCAAAATTTGATCTCTGTCTATTTAAAAAATAATTTTTCAACTATTGTATTTTATGTGTTATTACTAGAGCCCGGAAGTTCAGGCAAAATGCCATAAATGCCCTTTTCTGCCTTTTTTAAACGTTTTCTTCTAAAAAAGCCTTTTTCTTTCCTTTTGTTCATAAATGCCTATTTCTGCCTAATTTAAAATTTTTCTGCAAAGCTTTTTGTACTTTTGATCGAGCATAAATTTTGAAGTACAGAAATGGTTGACTGTCATCCAACGTATTGTCATGCATTTAAGATGATTAGGACTTTATTCCTTTTGGGACAACTCCCTCCCTCTGAGGCAGTGGTCACCCCTTGCACTATACAATGGCTATTCATCTGAGCTGATAGGGTACTCGTGCTTGAGTGAGCAAGGCAGGTGAAAGACATTTTTCTGTCCATGAGATTGACAGTGTTTGTTGTTTGAATAGAGAATAGAATACAGAATACACTTAAAGCTGGAAATGCGTAAAAGTTTTATTTCCTAATATGATCCATCTAACGTGCCTTGCTCATGCATTGCACAGGATAGCAGAGGAAGTAAAAGGTCTCTATCCTGAGGTAGACTCGCTTGTTTCTAGTGTGAAAAAAGTATTTGTGAAAGACCTTCAAGTGTTCAAAGAAATTGCACCAGACATTCAATTACCTCCTAAACCGATCCTTACTAGATGGGGAACATGGATTTCAGCAGACTCATACTTGCCTAGATAGCAACGAGTAAGTTTTGCCCCTTCCTCTTAATTAATTCCAGAAAGACTGAAGCTCACTTTGGGGGAAGATGTTACTTTCAGCTATTCATATTGAACCTACCTCAGATTTTTTGAAACAATTTACTGCTCAACTTTTAACTTAACTAACTTTTTTATAACTTTTAACTTAATTTTTTTTTTTGTATTACATTAATTAGGTCTCAAAGTTTAAAGTCATATTATATGAAAGTTGAGTCAGCAACTTGCGAGCTGGGAATCTATTTTGTTTCTATTATACTTAAGGCCTCTTTTCCAGTTCATTTAATGTTTTTTTTTAATTTTTTATAACCGTCGTTGAACAGCCGACCCAATTTTTGTGTTTATGACTACTAATGTTCAACTTCGTAGCCTTGTAATTTAGAACCCAATCCAGAAGACAAGGGAACTCCTGGATCAAGTATTGGGAGAAATTTGCCTTCATGGAGGACTTTTTAATGGTGCTAACCCACATTTGCGTTACATGGAGAAGAAGACCATGAGAACCCCCAACGGTTAGCCTGACTGCAAGGGGACTCTAACACATGATCCATCTACCACTGAGGTTATTTCACGTCAGGACTGTGGTCGGTGACCCGGTTCACCTCATTGGAAGGCCAACGCTCTATCCCCTGAGCCATCGCGGCTCTCATTTAATGCTTGTCTAATTTCGGCGAAGGCAGTTAAAGACCATGAAAGTTGTACGAAATTTCATTTTCTTAATATTTAATGTTACTCCAAATGTACACCACACATGTGTTGATTTTTTATGTACTACTCATTGGTATGCATTCACAAAAATAGCTTTATTGGAGACTGAACTGACTTATATTAAATAAAATACTAATTTGTGTTCTAGTATTTCACTATACTTAGAAAGATATTTTGAACTCAATTCAATGCATTTGAAAACTATTATTCAATTTGGTTCATTTGCTAAATGTGTTGAAATTTTAAAAAAATATTTTATCACAAAAATTGAGAGGCAGACCGCAAACAAAGTGAGATAGAGAGCTATAATAGAGGCCGTATGCTCCAATTCGGAGTGAAAAGAAATATATATACATATGACATGAAAATATTAAATGTCACATACGTAAAATACACGCACACATTATCTCTCTCTCTCTCTCTCTATATATATATATAAATAAACTAAAACATGTTATAATTATTGAAACCTCAATTGGACTAATTTCTTATCAAAAGTCAATTTAAAGACATAAAACTGTAAGTTGGTTTAATATTTTTTAACCAGAACTTTAAGAGTTTCAAAGCAACTAAACATTTGTTTTTTAAAAAAATAATAATTAGTGAGCAATTTATTAGTGAAACATTTTAAAATTCTGTACAGATTGAACAGTTAATTGAATAAAATTATACTAAATTAATGATGCAAAGGGCTCAAATTTTTAAAGCAATTAATCTTCATCAGATAAGATTTGATTTCATCTTCTAAAATTATTTAATAAGTATATAGCCCTTGATTAACCTTAAACGAAATTCATGATAGGATAATTTTATTCACAATTTTTTTTTCTTTATTCAAGAACCCTAAAATTTCTGTAACAACAAATTTAGAAAAATTTATAAAATCCTTTAATCATAGTAGTATAATTTTTGTGAAAGTTTCTGTAGTTCAACCAATCAATTTTTTAGAATTGATGGGAATAAGGGACAGAAAACAAACAGAATTTTGTGAATTTCCATAAAAGTTGCCTGCATGATAAATAATATAAACATAATATATCAGTTTCTCAATCTTGTCACAAAAATCAGGTAAGGTATTATAAAACTTATAGGAAAATGTCTTTTTTAAATGGGATGAATTGAAAGAACATGCTTGGAGCAATTTTTTAGATGAATTATTTTCTTGAAATATAGGAAATTAGCTTGATATGTTGCCCAAAGTTTATAATTAAATAATATAAATATACAAAATAAAACTAATTAAATAATATTATGCTTTACAAGAAAAATTTAAAAAAAAAAGTTCAAATTTCAGAGCTAAAAATCATNTTACGAAATAGCTCAGCCATTTATGATAGCATTTCCAAGTTCCTATATGGTTGAAGCCGGTTTCAGTCACGTAAATTCAATCTTAACTAAGAACAGAAATAAATTAAATGTGGAGTTTCGAGGGGGATTTAAGATTAAAATTAACAATTTTGAACCCAATATAACAAACCTTGCAGAAAAAAAAGAAAAAGAAAACACCAGGTACATCCATGTCATTGATTAAGAAGCAATAAATCCGTAGTGTTACTTTACTTATTATTTCTACTTACTTATAATTACTTATTATTTCATAAATATTAAGGTATTTATGTTTCAACATTAATATATTTTTCATAAAACTATTTTACACTATGTACTATTACTTTAATAAATGTTCAAAATCATAAAATAAATGTACAAACACAGTATCTAATAGAGTTTTATTTTAATTAACAGAAAATTACTTTTATGGGGGTCGATGGAGATTTCGAAAAATTATGAAGGGGTCGATGATCAAAAAAGTTTGGCAATCCCTGATTTAACTTGTAGAATGAAAAGTAGAATATATCCTATGGTAAATAAAAAAACTCATCGATTTTCTTACCTATTATAATAATTTTATGTTTTTAATCATAAATTCACATTGATTCATATAAAAAATTAAATCAAGAAATCAAAAGAGAATTACAAAATTTATACCATACATTACCAGGCATGACTTTTCCCGGAATGTTTGTCTAGATTTAAAATAATTAAAGGAAAGTTTTAGAGCTTTGGTAGCTCAGTTCATATTTATTCTTTTTTTACAATCTTGGTTAATAAGAGTAGTAAACTTTCAAAACATTGTTCATTAACCAAATTGTTTGATGACGTCTTCACAAAGACTCATAAGAGTAAAATATTCATGACCATTTAAATCCTTTTATAATATGTTTTCAAACATATGACAATTTGGAACAACTTAGTACATTTTTGTGTAATTATACAGCAATTTTTATACTTAATCGTTGTAAGTAAAAAGCTCATGTTGAAAATTTTCTTTGCCTAATCTGCTTTTGTTTTAAATTTGAATTGAACGAGTTATTTACAGTTAAGAAAAATACGTCCGAAGTAAGTGGTTGTAATTATTATCTTGCCTTATTAAAATGAAAAAAGAAGGAAAGAAAATGTCGTTTGAATTATTCTTTGTGTTTTACTCAACTAAGTATTTTTTTCTCATAAAACATCAATATTTATGTATTTTTTAGCATGTATTTACACATTGGGAAAAAATGTCTGGTCAAAGCTACCAGAATATAGTAAAATTTAACCATTTTTCCAGCTTTACACCAAGAGCTCTATAATTTTTACGAAGCGATTTTGTAACTATTTTAGTAAATGGTTTCATGTGGTAAAGCTTGGTAATTGTGATAAAATTTTGTAATTTTAGCATGATATTTTAGAGCATGCTTCAAAAACCATTTATTCGGTTAAATTAACTTTTCTGTTTTGTATTCTTTACTAAATGTGTGGTTATAAGAACTATAATTTTGAAAACCAAAATTTCCGGACAACCATTACCAATTGAATGAGTAAACTACTAAATAAATGGTTGAAATACAGTATATTTAGGATTTTACTATCAGAAATATGGTTCATTTTATCAGAAATGTCATTACCGTACAGTACCGTGATATTACCAGAATTATTTCTCCGTGCATTACTTAAGGAGGATATTAAAATTATTACATGAAAATATTTGTTAAAATTATTAAGCATTATAAATTAAATCTCCTAATAAAAGCAAGGATTGATCTACATGGATCAAATAATTTTGCAATAACTTTGGGTTTTTGAAATTACGTAACAAAACATTTGTTAAAACGTATGCTTATAAAAGTAATTATAGAAATTATAGTTTTAAATATATAAGGAAAGGTTTTTTACACTAAAACTGATGCAAGAAACAAAGGCTAAATTTTTTGAGCTTCGACAACAAATAAAAAAAAATTATATAATTCAAATTTCTTGTTCAAAGAAAAAAAAAAGTTTGGAGTCAAGAGCTGAAAAAGAATTTAAATGAATTAATTTTTTGTTTTGCTTACAGTAGACTCAAAGGTGACGTCTGGTGGTTAAGCGGTAGGGCTTCGCCCTGTCGTGCCACAGGTCCATGGTTCGATCCTCGGGCCGGGCAAGGTTGACTCAGCCTTTCATCCCTTCAGTGGGTTGATAAATGAGTACCAAGCATACTTGGGAACTAAACACTTTGGGTTCCGCGTTCGGCTGACCACCTGACCGGAACATCTACTCCTGCACCCCAGAGCCCAAGGTCAAGAGAACTGAGATGGACACAGTAGGCCTTGGCCCTCTATGGGCTGTAGTACCGCTGAGTTTAGTTTAGGCTCAAAGGTATTCCTAAAATCTCTATACATTTCCAAACTTTATTATTATTTTTTTTATCTTCACGAAACTGTTTCATTGTAAATTCTCTACTTGAGAATAAGAAAGTCATACTAGGCAACAAAAAAGAAAGGCAGTAAAAAATTTTTGATTAAAAAATTCATTATCTTGTCTCCTAACTTAGAATGTTTTAAGTATTATTATTATTTAACAATTCTTTTAAGTATCTCTTAGAAATATAGAAACTAGTTTATTGGAGATAAAAAGCTAATTAAAAAACCATTCTCATATATGAGTAAATAAAGCTTTTATTCTCATTTGATATTGAATGGAATTAAATATTTCATGCTTGCAAAGCAACGCAGTGAGTAAAAGTATTTATGAGAGAAACAGCACAACTATCGACAGCATAACACACAGTCATGATAAGAACGAAAGAAAAAAAAATAAAGATGACGCGAATAACACTGATGAAAGAGAAATTTTTTATATGGAAATAAAGAGCGGACTTATATTACAATCAAAATGTCGGATTATTTGTCATGCATCTTCATTGAATAACCTGTATAAATAACCCTTTGATGCAAATGGGGCACCGGTGCCCATTTTATAAATTTTTTTCTTTCGTTTTAATAACAAGCAAAATTATATTTTAGCATTTATTTTTTTATAACGCAAATGATTCTAATAGCTCTCAAAAAATCTGTTAGATTATCGAATTTCATTTGTACTAAAATTTAGAATCCAAAAGAAAAAAAGAAGTAGATCGAAATATTTTTTTTATTCATAATCAAATATTATATTCATAATCAAATATATATACAAGATTTTGTTAATTAAAGTAATTTTAATGATGAAGTTTGAAATAACAAATAAGGAATAACAAATTTGAAAAATTATTATTTGGAAGTGAGTAACGTTTGGCAAATTTTTAATTTAACGTAACACGCTATATTTCATAACCATAAATTACTAAAATGCAAAATATAGTATTTTCCACTGATTTTGAGTTAAATTAATACAGAATAATGAAAAAGTACATAAAAATAATGTTTAATAAAAGTTATAGGTATTAAGGTTTGAAACCTTATTACAAAAAAACTTTTAGTGAATGCACCTGAAATAGAAATGTATTAAAAATGATTCATTATATTCATTTGCATTATCATTCACATAATTTTACATCTCAGTTAAATAAATTTGGTTCCAAAATTTTAGAATTAATAGAAAATTTATTAAAACACACTTAAAACTAACCGTAAAATTTATAAACTTCTGTATGTCACTTGAATGGGATTGTAGTAATGATTTTTAATTGTGTCACTAAATTACCATACTTTATTAAAAATATTATAAATATTTCATTCGTCAGAAATGTGTGTAGCGTAGTAAGAATGGTAGCAATTTTGGATTTATATGAAACCAACGTTACTCAAATTGTCAATGATAATATTATTTTTTTCTTGTATTTATGATTTTTATAGGTTCCATAGACATTGTTAATTTAAAAAAAATCACTACAAATATTTTCATATCCAGAAGATTGTATTTGACTCTTATTTAAAAGTGCTTAATTTATGCGAGTAAAAACAAGATTTTTATAAATCAATGTGAAATACCAATTCAAATTATGCCCTGATCAATAGCAAGCAGTTTTAAAAACTTTTTGTTGTAAGTTTGCAACAATTAGACAGTTTTAAATTTCATTTTGACAAATTTTCAGCAACAATCGTTATTTAAGTGATTTTCTGTTGTTTAACAATATATTGTTTCAGTTATAATACTAAAATTTCAACAATTGAAAACATCAATAAATGTTTCATTTTTTAAAGAAGAATTTCATTCTAATTTTTGAGCTTGTGAGTTATACTATAACGTTTGAGCTTAAACTTGTAGAGTGATTAATAAGTGGAAAAAATGTTTGGTTTCATTAGAAACTGGTTGATGTGCTTGGGGTTTTGTAAACGTAAGCATTAACAATAGCTAAAATATTTACATTTTAGATTTTCAATAATATTTCACTAATCAGCTAATTGAGCTATCAAAACATAATGAAAATTTATAAAAATATCTAAAAAATGATTTATGTGATTAATATGACGTTGAATGCTAATCTTATTTAATCTGAGTTTTTAACACACTCTTAAAATCTATATTTGTAAACATTTAACTTAACAAAAGTTGATATTTGCTAATATTATTAAATATTCATTTTATTTTGAGTTTAATTTTTTTAATGACAAAAAGCTTTAGACCTATTATTTAGAATGTGTTAGATTATATATTAATTCATTATACTTAATATTACTTATTTATTTCTCTATCATAAAACTCCATTAGCAGTCTGCTTAATAGAGCATTCAAAATTTAAGTAACAAATCTTGATGATTGACATAAACTGTTCACTGTTTATATCATTACAAATATTTTTAAAATTATTTCGATTGCGCACGTACAATAATATTTGTTCGTTGAAAATAGAATATTCAATTCTCATGATGTAGTTATTTTTCCACAAATAAATTCTTTTCTATTTAGAAATTTGTATAATTTCATAAAAAGGACGTACCAAAATTTATCAAAGGTTTTCAATTATAGTAGAATACAAGCTCTAATTTTTTATTTTTTCTATTTTAACTAAATAATTGTTAGCTTGGAACTATATATAAATGCATGCTTTTCAATTATCATAAAGTCTGATTTAAATTAATTACTTATTAGTAAAACTCATAAAATTCAACTTTAATATTACGCACTCTATAGTAAATTATACTGTGATTCGCTGAAATAATGTGCCTACAATAAAATTTCTTTAAAATTTATTTTTCAAATTTCTCTAAATTTTCTTTTTTTTTTTTTAAAAAAAAGGATGATTTAGATTACTTGTTAATAAACTAAAATTGGAAAAAAAAAATTTTTTTAGCTTACTTTAGTCATTTTAAGGGAAATAATTAATTAACAGAATTTTTATTCAAAAATGCTAAGATTCCCCCGCCCCCCGTTTATTTCGACTTTATTACTCGAAACAGTTTCATAAATGTGTTAGAAATTTAAATTATACGCAATTTCATTACTATTATATAATATGCCTTATGAGGTAAATATCGGTTATATTGTTTTGCAGCCAAGAGAAAAAATAGAAAGGCGACAATCGCCAAGTGTGATAATTGTGATTCGTTTCTTGCACAGCAAGATCGAATGGTCCAAATTGATTATGGCGAATGGTATTCTAGACTCCGTCGTCTTGCCAACAAGTATATTGTTGAGGAAGGTTGTAAAATTGATGAAGAATCGGAAGACGAACTTTCTTATGAGAGGAAGCCTGGTGAATATATAAGATCTCAAAGTCTTCCAAATATGCATATTTCATTTGCACCTTCTGAAATGACGACGGAACTTGAACATCTCCCAAAAAAGATTCTATCTAGCGAATCTCTTGAGTATGATGGGGATTTGGATTCCAAATGTGAATCTGTTGTTCAAATGAGTGATGAAAGTTATGACGAAGAGTTGATGTACAAACTGACAAACACCGATTATATTTTTCGGGAGTACAAAAGAATTAAACGACTCTATAGAGGATCGTCATACGAGTCATTAGCGGAAGATATGAATGGAATGTTTAATGTTGAGGAAAATGATGAAGAACGTGACTCTGGTTATGTGAAAGTGGATGGCCGTTGTTCTTCAGATTTGATGGAAGAAAAGGTATCCAATGATAAATCGGAGATGAAAATGAGGTACTTAAAATTTGTTTTTAATGCTTCGAATAGACTTTTTTAAAACTTAGTACTTTGTAACAGATTCATAATATACAAAAATAATTTTTCACGAAATTAATCTTATCTTAATTCATATCAACGTATAGAAATATCCATGATGATTAATTTTAAATAACAATGCAAAAAATTACAATAAATATATGCATTTTTTTTGCATGAATATATTTCATTTATAGATGGATATAAAATATGTATTTTCTCCCATTCAGCATCTTCAAAATCTCAAAAAGTTTATTTTAAAATTTGATCTATATTTAGAAAGGTAATTTTAAAAGCTAAAAATATTTAAAAAATATTTTTCAAGTTTTTGTAATTCTCTTGTTTATTAATTTTCGCATCACTATTTTTCTTTGAAACGTAATCTAGAAAGATTTGTAAATTTTTGAAATTTACATTTCTTTTTTATTTACAATAAATTGTCTTTTAAAACGTCATTTTTCCTGTGCGAAAATGTGTAAAGGGTGTTCTGTAATTGCCGACCTTAACATATTTTTTTAAATATTAGCCAAAAAAGGTGTTAAATAAATTGGTACATCAGTGATCCCGAAAAGTTGAAAAAAAGAAAAAAAGCGACAGAATTTCTACCGAAATTTATAGCATTTCAACGCAATAGATGGCGCTGAAATCATTAAAAACAGTTTGCTGGATGAATCTTTGAATTATTTCTAAATTTAGTTTTACTGCTTCTCCTTTTTTCTCCAGGCACTCAAACAGATTGTGACTTTTTCATTATCATCTTCCTCAGTTGGGAGTCGTTAGTTTTCGATAATGTTTTTGTTTCTCCTTAGTTTTATTATTTATTGGTGATATTGTGCAAAAAGAAAAACCCTTAAATTTTTGTCTAATCATCGGATCTTCACATACTAGGTCTCAATCTTAATATTTCGGGGATTGACTTAAAATAAGCTATTTAATCAAATTCAAAATAAGAAATCAAGTAAGAAAATGCACTATCTCTGGATAAATATACGTTTAATTACGGCGGATTCAGATTTCTGACCATTTAAAATTCAATGGTAGCAGCAGTGTGGGAAATGTGGTACCAATCGTTTGGATGGTCTGCACCCTTAATATTAATTTTAGTACTTTTTGTATTTTGCCATTTTTCGAGAAACATTTTAATGAATTAAAAAAATTTTGCATCCATTTATAAAATTCGTTTACTTAAATATTCTATTCAAAAAGTAATTTTTAATAATTATTTATTGTTTTGTTGAATAATCGTAGAAAAAATTTTGAATACAAATACATTACAAATAAGCACATTATATAACAAAAACAAATGTTTGTATGATTTTAAAGATTGTACTTTTGGATGGCAAAATACAAAATTTGTATGAAATCTGTTGAGTAGTTTCTGAGAAATCAAATTTTAAATGTACAAATTCTTTAACAAAATACAATACAATTATAAATTTATTTTTTATTAGTGAGAAAAAATATAGCACATCAAATCGCTTTGGAAGGAAAATTCATAATTCTCAATGTTTTTAATTATCTTTTTAGCATGGTACATGAAGTGGTTAATGAAATTGGTGATAAAAGTAAAACAGATAAGATCTTGAAAAAGAACACTAAGAAGTTTAGAGTTCGATCATTTTTCAAGAACTTATTCAAGAGGAAGAAAAAATCAAATAAAAAGGACCATTAGTGTTTGTTTTAAAGGATGGATATCTGTTAAACAAGTCGGAATTATGGACTGGATTTTGGATTTACGAATTTGATTGTGGATTATGTTTGGATTGCTTTTTGGAACTTTGTTACGAATTATTAAAGAATTTGATATTTTTTCCGCTTTTTAATTATAATGTGTGAAGTAGTAATGTCGGCAATTTCTCTTCTCTTGAGAACTATATTGCATATTGAAAAATTAATAAAAATCAAAAATAATATGTAGACAGATCTGTACTATTGTTTTGCAATTTTGCATTAATATAAAATTTTATGATACAAATTGAAACGATAAAGGTACTCAAATTAGTATTAAAAAATAATGGTCGAATAAAAGCGAAACCATGGTAATTAAAAAGCAAAATGGTAAATAAAAATTATTACCAAATCGAGAAAAAAAATTGAAAAAAAAGAAGAAAAAAAAACAGACTAAAAAAAAAATTAGAAAAATACAGGAAATTAGAAAAAAAGGAAATTAGAAAAAAAAGAATAAAAAAATTAAAATACAGGAAGAATTAAAAAAAGAGAATGGAATACAAAAAAAGCAAAGAAATAAAGACAAAAAAAAAAAAAAAAAAAAAAAAAAAAAAAAAAAAAAAAAAAAAAAAAAGCGGAAAGAACAAAAAAAACAACCTTTTAATGCTACCCAGAGCTAACTAAAAGTTCTGGAAGGTCCCAAGTCCTTTAAAAAGCAGAGGGAAAGGTTTACAACATAAACAATTACTATAAACACAATCATTAAATATCGCTTGCTCTTTTTTGTCATTAGTAGTCCAGCCTTATTTTAAAGGTAAAGGAGCTGGCAACAAATAATATTTTTTTCTCATTTTCCATATAAGCCAGCCCTGTCGAGCAAACACACTCATGGGAAAATAATTTGTCAAACAAATGAAAACAGTACAATTAAAAAAAAAAAAAATGGATGACTCTGAATAATTTTTGATCTAATGATCGGATCTTCACCTTCTAGCCCTCAATATTAATGTTTCGGGGGAGAGGGGGGGGGGTAACATCATGTTCCCTGAATGTTTAAGGTTTCCAGGAGTAGCTTCAAATATCCCAATTAATTAGTGCAGACGATATTTTAAACTATAGAATCGGACACAAAAATTTACTTTCTCTGAATAAATATACCTTTTTTTCAACTGATTAGTATTTCCGACCCCCAAAATATAGGGGGTAGCTGCAATCTGGGAAATACGGTCCCCATTGTTTGATCAGTACAGCGATCCAAAGTTTGGACCCTCTAATTTTAATTTTTGCGTATTTCGCCATAGATGAGATTTTCGTACGCGAACTGAAAAATTTGTGCACACAATAAAATTTATTTATCCAAAGATAATTCAAAAATTAAACTTCAGTAAATATTTAATATTTTTTATTATTTAATTTAATAATAGTCGAAAACATTTTGGATAGTAAGGTATTCATTTCGTTGTATAATTTTAAATATGTAATTTTATATGGCAAAATACAAAATTTGAACAGAATAGGTACATTAGTTCCCGAGAAACCGAATTTTAATTGTCTTCTTAAAATTCCATTTCCAGGGTACTTAAAATTCCATTCTTTAATTCACCATGTAAAATTGCATACTTTGAAATGACGTAAAATATTGTATACCTTACAATTCAAAAAATTTTGACTGTTATTAAATAAAATAATAAAAAATAGTAGATAGGTATTTACTAAACATTTTTTTGAACTACAGAGTAAAATATCTTTTGCACACATTAGGATATTTGAAGTTACCCCTCGAAAAATTAAGATTGAGCTCGAAAATGTGAAGATTCGATCATTAGATCAAAGCTATTCAGGGTGGTTCGTTTTTTTTTTCTTTGGTGCACTGTACATGTCTGGAAAATAAACTGTCGGGCAAATGTACCTGTCTGGCAAATGAGCAGTCGGGAAAACCGAGTAGGGGCATTGTTGGGGCAAATGATCGGATTTGTGTTTTTTTATGCGTAATCTGATTAAGTGGAATTATAAGGAGCAAAAGCTAATATTAAAGTATATAAAAAGAACAATATCATTTCGAGCATATTATTATCTTCTAAAAATAGAAAATTTGCAGAATCATTCTTTAAAAACTCTTTTTCTATAAATTTCTACTAAAGTATTCATGATGTGATTATGTAAGTGTTGCAAATATGTCACTGAGGAGATTTGACCAATAAATTAGTTATTCAAGATGTTCACTTTAGCCCCATGTCCACACAAGCCTCCTCTATATACCTTTGTGGTTCATTCAATGTTTGTACAATTTGATTTTGACTGAGAAAATTCACGAAAATAGCTTTGTTTCGAAGATTTTTGAATGAAGTTGAATTTTTTTTTTTTTTTTTTTTGAGTTTTGGATGCGCACTGTACAATGCGCAGACAAATAAACGAAAATGTTCTTTTTTGGTATTTTGCCTTACTTTTTCTGTATTTCGTTGTATCGCGAGAACTTTATATGTACATCGAAAACTTTCGCTCACAATTAAGAAATTTGTTAATTTAAAAATAATTTTACGCATAAAATTTTTTTTAATAAGCATTTATTATTATTTGTTATTTTATTTAATATTAATTAAAAATTTTTGAATTGTAAGGTATACGAATTTTTACATTGTTACAAAGAGGGTTGTGGTAAAATACAAGAAATCCGTCGAATAGTTCCTGGAAAATTTAACTTTAAATATGCAACGTCTCTAATAATATATAATAAAATTATAATAAATTTATTTTTTTATCGGTGAGAAAAGTTATAGCGTATCAAATCACTTTGGAATGAAAATTCTTAATATATAATCCTTTTAATCCTTTTTTTAGCTTGGTTCGTAATATGGTTAATGAAATTGGTACCAAGAAAAAAAAAGGCACTCCAATAAAAAAAAGAGCGCCATTGAAAAAGAACACCAAGAAGCTTATTGCTTGTACTTTAAAATTAGAATCCGAAATTTATTTTAAGGGAGTTAATCCAAAATTTAACTGTTCTAACTATGAAAACGAGCATTAAAATGCTAAAAATCGAAGACGTATCTAGTTATTTTTGAATTTTTAAAAGAATTCTTAATTAGTTTAAACTATGACATATCTTTATCTTGAATTTTACTTTAATAAATATATTCTATAAACAAAGATGCATTCAGAGAACAGATATTCGATTCCCTCTTTTTGTAAGCGAAGAAAATATTTACAATAACTAACCTGTAAGCTTTCACCTGTAAGCGAAAATAATATTTATAATTAAAAGAACAAAAGGGTTTCAAGTTAAGAAGAATTTCATTTTCTGGAATCGAAAATTAAGATAAAATTTATCAACGTGTTTTACCAAAGGTAACCTAGCAACCAATGGAAAACATCTCTTTACATCTGTTTTACGGTTTGAGAGTTTAAGGAAATAGAACTTTCTTAATAGCATACAATATCTCAAGAAGAGCAGCTAATATTGTTAAAGTAAGATTTTATAAATTTCTTTAAATTGATATTTACAATCCTATAATTTTAAAAAACAATGTTTGCGTGAATAAATATAATATAGAATAAATATAGAAAAATATTTATTATTGCGTATGGAGAAGATGTATTGATAGTACGCCAGTGCCAAAATTGGTTTGTAAAATCTCGATTATAATATATGAAGACGCACTACCCAGTTTAAACTGAGGAAGACGTATACTCGCCATAAACGTCTATGATTTGCTTCGCGAACGTCAAGAAAAATATCCATTTTTGAAGTGCATCGTCACTGGGGACGAAAAATAGGCTGCCTACAATATTTTTCGGGTCTCTACAAAAATGCTTAGATGGTAATACCTTTATCTCAAATTACCAGGATCAGTTTCTCTGTCAGTAAAGAAAACAATTTTATGAGACAGGAATCATGCTACTGCCAGAAATATGGAAAATAATACAAAATTCGATACAATGTTTATTCACCATAAGGAAATCGTCTTTAATTTTCATGAGGAAAAAAGGAAATAACTCTTCGACAACCCAGTTATTTATACTAACCATGAGTTATATTACGAAATTATTTACTTTATGGTTAAGAAATTTCGCTGTTTGATTACTTTTTTCACTTTTCTGTAACTTAATCAATTGTTATCTCTAACTAATCAATCTGAAAATTTAGTTTATAAGCTTCTATGGTACATAAGTTTCACGTATCTATATTAGTAATAGAATTATTATCTAATGAGAAACACAGATTTAGACTATTTGATGGACTTAAAACAGTATAATGATAAGTCAGATCTAATCGCAATCAGGAAAGCGCTTTAAAGAGACGTTGTTGGTAAAAAAAAACGCTAGGATTTTTATAGGAAAATAAGAAGTTTCAATTGTGCCCTCTTCTAATTGAAACTTGATTACGAAATGACTTACTACGGAACATTTTGATGCAAAAAGTTTACATTTGGAAAAACTCGCAGTTTATTGTCCTTAATCGTTTTCTCTTCTATTTGTCCATTCGAATGTTAAGATATGTACTGACTAAAAAAAATATTTTTTGCAATTGATCAATCAGGTTTTTTTTTTAACAATTATAAATCAAACAAAAATTGAGCTTATTTTGATAAAAATGATCTGTTGAGCACCCAGGTTTAAAAATTAATCTGAAATTTTAATTGTTTTTCATTGAATGCTTTTTTTTTGTAAGTGTGATAAAAATTATAAATCTTTTTTTCCTTCCTTAACATTAAACAAAATGCGTCCAAAATCAATATTTAAAAAAAAATGTACTAGTAATTTTGAAAAATTTCTATGAATGTAGTAATTTTTAATTACTTTTATGAAGAACTATTTCAGGTGTTAATGTTCCTCCTCAATATATGGAAAGCCATCAAGTCTGTCTTCAGCCAGGAAAAGTAAGAATAAATTTTGCTCTTACAATTCTTTAAATTCAGCTTATTGTTCTTAATCGTTTTCTCTACTATTTGTCCATTCGAATGTTAAGATATGTACTGACTAAAAAAAAATATTTTTTGCAATTGATCAATCAGGTTTTTTTTTAACAATTATAAATCAAACAAAAATTGAGCTTATTTTGATAAAAATGACCTGTTGAGCACCCAGGTTTAAAAATTAATCTAAAATTTTAATTTTTTTTCATTGAATGCTTTTTTTTGTAAGTGTGATAAAAATTATAAATATTTTTTTCCTTCCTTAACATTAAACAAAATGCGCCCAAAATCAATACTAAAAAAATTTTTTTACTAGGGTAAACTAACCAGTGAAGGAACACTTAAGCTTCACTTGCCACTTAAAAAATCATATTAATTTCAAATTCGTAATTTCAGTTAAATGACAGTGTCAACATATTTGTTACTAATTGCAAATTATGTAAAAAAATTGTAGGGAGCTTACATAATATTGTTTTAACGTTTTGGAGGTTCAAATAACAAGTAGTAAGAAGACCAAAAGGAACAGCTCTAACCAGTGAAGGAACACCCAGTAAAGGAACACTTAATTTTGGTTATTTTTTAATGCTCTTTATGAATTTATAAGCATACAAATATTTAAAATCAAGCCTATTCTCGAAATAAAAACATATAAATACTTGGAAAATGTAAACTTTTTATTGTAATCATGAATTTAAAATTTAAGTGTCAACATATTAACACATATTGCTCATTCACTGGGAAATCTATACCCAGTAAAGGAACACGCCTGTTCCCTCACTAGTTAGAAGTTGTTTTTCGTATTTTTAACGTACTTTTGATGCGGAGCATCATTAAAGGTACAAGAAAATTAAAGTTTATCTTTTATTTTCATTAGCTTAGAAAAAACCCAGTAAAAGAACACTTGTTCCTTTACTGGTTTTTTATCGTTTGGTAATTCAGTAAATAAACACCCCCTTATCTCAGTACTTGCTTATGCTATGATGCTTAAAATAAATAAAACTTAACTTCAATAATTATATTTCGAATTCTCTGTTTCATAGTGAGAAAAATAAAACTATTACATGCTATTAATTCCACTTCAAACATATAAATACAAACACTCATTTTAGAATTTTTTCAAGGAAACAAGGTGTTGCAGAGATAATAACAAATTCAAAACTTTTTCCAGAGAAGTCTATTTGACCAGGTAATCCAAAACATTGGTAGATGACTTCCTATTGTTTGGCAGTAAGCTATTGTTACCAAAATTTTCAAAATCTTATTTTCAATCAATATATATGAAATGTTCCTTCACTGGGTAGTGTTCCTTCACTGGTTGGCTTACCCTAGTGATTTTGAAAAATTTCTATGAATGTAGTATTTTTTAATTACTTTTATGAAGAATTATTTCAGGTATTAATGTTCCTCCTCAATATATGGAAAGCCATCAAGTCCGTCTTCAGTCAGGAAAAGTAAGAATAAATTTTGCTCACAAGTACTTTTTGGGCATGAAAGTATGATATTTTTGTTCTATCCTGACAATCCTAAGGTCATTTGGGACAAGATACATTAAATTTTTGTTCATAGGCCATGCTTAAAATATTACAGGGAATCGATGATTTTAGAGTAATAGTCAATGAAAATTATGAGCGCAAATTATAGGTGTGCAATGAAAGGTTTCTGACGGAAAAAAATCAGCTGACAAATCAAGGTTAATAAAAATGAAGCTCTACGCGATGAACAGACGCATTTTTATTGTTGAGAATTCTTTAAAGCCTTGTTAAGTCATTTGCAATACTTTTTATAAATAAAACAGGAGTCTCAATGTTAGGAGATCTTTCCTCTTATGATACTTTTGACGTCTTCATTTCCATGGTTTTGACAAATCACTTTTGTCAGCATGTCATGCCATGCCACTCACCATGCAAGTATGCTTCAACGTCTTACTGATGTAATGAACTATCGAAGGGAAAAAAGTAAGATTTACCGATTTCATGGTTACGGAGAGAGGAAATGTGCAGACGGTGGAAAAATCTCATAACCTTTGCGATGCTATTCTATTTACAAATATTACTGTTGTTTAATTTTATATTTTAGTGATCATAATTGACCAAAAAAAGCTCTTTAATTATTTGTAATTTTAAAAAAATGCATAATGCTTGTACCAGTAAGCACATAATTACTTAAGCCTTGAAAGAAAAAGAGAAATGAGCGCTGTAATCTCAATCCTAATTTTGAGTTCATTGTACACAAAATGGTGATTGAGAATGTCGACAAAAGAATGCGTAATACAAAAACCGTGATCTCCTATCCCATATGCTATTTCATGCATAATCCTATACTGTATACTTACCCTATTCTGTATTGAAAATCCGATTTTTTTCAAACTTCTTTCGCGAATTTTTGGGACATCCTATAATATTAAACTCCTGTACCCATTTACTGACGAGGTAATGAACCCGTATTTATGAAAAAATGGCACGTCATCTGAGAATTTCAGGGCAAACTAATTATAAGCATAAATTATGCACCCTAAATGAAGTTTAAAATTTAAGGAAAGAAGTGCTGACAAAAAAATGAAGAACTAAAAAGCATTATGTTTCTTAAAAACGGAAATATTGACTAAATTGAGTTTTGATTTAAAATATATTTCAAACACAATTTGGAGAAAAGTGCTTGTAACACGAAAAACAGAGAGAAAACTATTAGATAAATTTATCATACAATATTTTAATCTTTATCCTTTGTACAATAGTTCAAAGTGTTTGTAATTCTTTAAAGAAGTTTATTAATATATAAGTAATATTTTTGGCATATTAACCCATTTATGCCAAGCGCTTTATTAACATAACTGTCCTTTTTTTAAAATGAAGGAAATAGTGCAGTTCCTGTGTTTTAATATTATGATTTATTTCAAAGAAACCAGATAGCTCTATCAATCGCAATATATTACGTGTAAAAATATTTATATTTGATTTTGAAATCTAGATACAGTACATTTTTAAATGTAAAGTAGAAGTTAACAAAAAGATTTGCCCAAAGAATAGTATATAGTTGGGAAAACAAAGCTACCATTGGGAAAACCAAAGCCTTTTTTGCTACCATTTTTTTTGTTGCTTATTTTTCATATTAAGGCCACTTTTGTTTGCCAGGCATTAATGGGTTTAGAAACAATTTTATCTCCTCTTTAAAAGTGCCTTAACCCTTATTATTTCCGGAGCATAGAAAAAAATAGTATTTAAAAAAATAGTACATAATTTTACAAAATTTCTTATGGATTTACTTTATATCGAAGTTAAAACGAAATTAATTGAATTTCACTTGACAAAAGAGTTTATTAATAAAAATTGTAACTGTTTTAATATTGATATTTAATGAAACCTTTTGCTAATATCAGGATTTAATATGCAAGTATATTCAACCTTGTCATGGTATATGATTCGATTTAATAACATTTTTTCTTTATTTTTTATTGCTCAGTCAGAACGAATAGTGAAGATATTAGATTTACAAGACCTGGGCTCTTTGCTGTTTGTTGGACAGGTGAGCAAAATTATCGATTACAATACTTTTCACTGATTACTTATAAATACTCATCAAAACGTGGGAATAATAACACTAACAGCAGGTAATTCTGAATTCCATTATGACATATGAACTAAATATTCACTACTACAATATGCTTTTTTATTTAAATAAAATTGACACTTATAATAACTTTATGGGCACTTTTTCAAAGCGTGGGAATAATAACACTGTGGGGGGAGGAGTTATCGACAATGCCAATCTTCATCTATCAAAAGATACCTCAAGATTGAATCAAGTTAGCATGTCTTATATACCAGTGAATTGATGTTTATTAACCGTAGTAGTTACGCCACATTACTCTCCCACCAGAATTTTATCAGGGATAGAATCCGATGAACGGATACCACTAGTTGCTGTACTAGTGAAAGACCGGGAGAGCTGGATTAAGGTCACCTGGTTTCTTTAGTGCTGAATGTGAGAGGTGTATTAACTTCACGGTCGTAGTCGCTCCTGGGTTGCCATTAGCAGTCGAGTGTATGCAGGCTGTCGTTGTGTATGATCGAGACGAGACTGAGTAGCAACAGCGTGAGGAGGTGGATAATGTCGCAGTCACAAGTAGCAAGTCAACTGTTCAATGTGGACCATCCATCGAAGTGGGCGTTACTGTCAAGATAGGCGTGATCATATCACGTCTGGGTCACCAATGTGGGGGGGGGAGGAGTAATCGACAATGCCAATCTTCATCTATCAAAAGGTACCTCGATTGAATCAAGTTAGCATGTCTTATATACCAGTTAATTGATGTTTAATAATCGTAGTGGTAGTTACGCCACAACACTAACAGCAGCTAATTCTGAATTCCATTACGATATGAGCACTAAATATTCACTACTTATACAGTATACTTTTCTATTTAAATAAAATTGACACTTATAATAACTTTATGGGCACTTCCTCAAAGCATGGGAATAATAACACTAACAGCAGCTAATTCTGAATTCCATTACGATATGTGCACTGAATATTCACTACTTATACAGTATACTTTTCTATTTAAATAAAATTGACACTTATAATAACTTTATGGGCACTTCCTCAAAGCATGGGAATAATAACACTAACAGCAGCTAATTCTGAATTCCATTACGATATGTGCACTGAATATTCACTACTTATACAGTATACTTTTCTATTTAAATAAAATTGACACTTATAATAACTTTATGGGCACTTCCTCAAAGCATGGGAATAATAACACTAACAGCAGCTAATTCTGAATTCCATTACGATATGTGCACTGAATATTCACTACTTATACAGTATACTTTTCTATTTAAATAAAATTGACACTTATAATAACTTTATGGGCACTTCCTCAAAGCATGGGAATAATAACACTAACAGCAGCTAATTCTGAATTCCATTACGATATGTGCACTGAATATTCACTACTTATACAGTATACTTTTCTATTTAAATAAAATTGACACTTATAATAACTTTATGGGCACTTCCTCAAAGCATGGGAATAATAACACTAACAGCAGCTAATTCTGAATTCCATTACGATATGTGCACTGAATATTCACTACTTATACAGTATACTTTTCTATTTAAATAAAATTGACACTTATAATAACTTTATGGGCACTTCCTCAAAGCATGGGAATAATAACACTAACAGCAGCTAATTCTGAATTCCATTACGATATGTGCACTGAATATTCACTACTTATACAGTATACTTTTCTATTTAAATAAAATTGACACTTATAATAACTTTATGGGCACTTCCTCAAAGCATGGGAATAATAACACTAACAGCAGCTAATTCTGAATTCCATTACGATATGTGCACTGAATATTCACTACTTATACAGTATACTTTTCTATTTAAATAAAATTGACACTTATAATAACTTTATGGGCACTTCCTCAAAGCATGGGAATAATAACACTAACAGCAGCTAATTCTGAATTCCATTACGATATGTGCACTGAATATTCACTACTTATACAGTATACTTTTCTATTTAAATAAAATTGACACTTATAATAACTTTATGGGCACTTCCTCAAAGCATGGGAATAATAACACTAACAGCAGCTAATTCTGAATTCCATTACGATATGTGCACTGAATATTCACTACTTATACAGTATACTTTTCTATTTAAATAAAATTGACACTTATAATAACTTTATGGGCACTTCCTCAAAGCATGGGAATAATAACACTAACAGCAGCTAATTCTGAATTCCATTACGATATGTGCACTAAATATTCACTACTTATACAGTATACTTTTCTATTTAAATAAAAGTGACACTTATAATAATTTTATGGGCACTTTTTCAAAGCCTCGGAATAATGACACTAACAGCAGCTAATTCTGAATTCCATTATGATATGTGCACTAAATATTCACTACTCATACAGTATACTTTTCTATTTAAATAAAATTGATACTTATAATAACTTTATGGGCACTTCCTCAAAACGTAGGAATAATAACACTAACAGCAGCTAATTCTAAATGCCATTATCATATGTGCACTAAATATTTTTTTATTTATACATATGATGCCGTTTGAATAAAATGAATACTATAATTAATTTTTCGTCGAATTTTAGAGCATCAATTTATCTTAAACGATAAAGTTATGTGAAAAACAATATCAGCTTTGAGCGTGTTACATCTTTTGGACAACGTAATATTTAACGTAAAATGGTGTACTGTTGCATAAATATTTCATAAAATATAAGATAATACTTAAATAAAAAGAAAATTAAGACTTGATAAATAAGTTTAAAGTACTTACCTTAATCAGTTTTTTGCTAAAATGAGAGTGTTGTTTTCTACGTTTCTTATTCGAACAGGTATAAAGACACTGAATTGCTTTTTTCTAAAAAATTTTGCCACAGTATGAAATAAGAGTATAATATAGCTTATAACACAGTATAATCGTTTTATCTTAATATTATCATGTAATTATCCTACTTAAAATCAATAATTTTTTCTTTTCACCTTTTGAAAACTGCCCTTATATCATCTATATGAAAATCTCGAATTTGTAACTGATATACACCATATTTGGACACTTCCATAAGAAGGCACAGTAGAAAACAATGACAATACTAATCAAAAAGACGAAACGCAAGGAACAATTACCTTGATAGAAAGATATTGATAAATTTCGGAGGGTATTTTTTTTGACCACATACATTTTATTTTCGATCGTAATTTAATTTAATTTTCCATTCAATATTTTTGTTCATTTCGATGTAGTTTTGATAATACCACTTAATGTAATTTTGAATTTCTGCGATGTAAATGCCTTTCAGAGAAGGAAAAAAAAGCTCTCGATCAGTCTCAACTATTTTTCTTCATTGAGGTAGTTTGTGATGCTCATTATTTTGGGGTGACTCGAGACCTTGTGCCGTTAAGTTCGTAATAGCTAGGTGTTCTGGTGGATTTCGTCGTTGCTACGGGTAATCAAAATGATTGCGTCTGAACCTTACGTCCTGACTCTCAAAAGACAATTCTTTATTTGTAGTTTATATTTTGAGCCTGTGTGTGGTATTTCCCACGGGTTTTCTCCAAGAAAGGAGAGCTAAATTTTAAAGGGGGAAGGGAGATGTTTTCATAAACACTAGCTGTGTCCATTTTCTTGAACATGTATTTCAAGCTACTGCTATTTTCTTAAACACGCAATTTTGGCTGCGTCCATTTCCTTGAACATGTATTTTTAGCTGTGTTCAGAATAAAGTTGCACCGAAGTACTGCATTTTTTCTTATGGGTAATTTTAATCTTTTATGCATTTATTTTACTTATTTATTTTTGAAGATTATGATTGAAATTGAATGAATCTCACAATTAGAATGGACTGTAATGCCCTGCCCTCTAGTACCGATAATCTAATGGTTCGAAGGCCTAATATGCTAATGCTAATTAACATATGCTAATTAGAGGAGACTATATTTCAAACTAAAAATCAGATACTAAAACGGCGTTTCTTTGCATGATAATTATTTTTTTTCTACTAATTTGGATTTTTGGCCCTTATAATATTTTACAGTTGGTGCAATCTGGAAAACATAGCTCCAATAATTTAGATTGGGGAGCAGTCGAAAGTTAGTGTACTTAAACTGAAATTTTTTGCTTGTTTTGTATTTCGCCATTTCAAAGAAGACGTATTTTGAATTTTTTTTAATTTAATTTTTCATTTTTTTTGAAGATCTTCCTTTTAGTTGTACATTCTTCCTTTAGTCTATTTTTATCATATTTTGCATTTTACCTTTTAAAATTATAAATTGGTATAAAAATTTGTATTCCTTATAATTCAAAATTTCTAACAATTTAAATTTTTTTTCAAATTCCTTACAATTCAAATTTTTCTTAAGTAAGTAAGTTAAATAAAGAATAATAAATAATTATAAAAGAATAATTTTCTTACGGAAATATCTTTAAATAAATAAGTGTTATATTTGTCTGCAGAAAGATTTTGATTAGCTTCATTAGTTCTGGAGGAATGGAGAGAAATCGGTCGAATAACTCTTTTTTAATCAAATTTCAAAAATACGATTTTTCTTAAAAGTTTGTTTATTCAAAAACTATTTGACATATTGCCGGCAATTTTTTTTTGCACACATAAAATTACATTTATTAAAATAATGTTAACGGTTGTATACCTAACAATTTAAAATTTTAAAACTGTTATTAATGAATAATCGTTAAAAATTATTTATTGCAGGGAATTATCTTTGAATAAATGAACTTTATAATTATGCGCAAACTTTTTTGTTCTGCTTAGAAAGTTTTCAAGATATTTTGAAATATGCAACTAGGAAATTTTATATAAAGGGATCCAAATTTCCGATCGTTTCCCTTACCATATTTTCCAGATTCCTACTACCCTCCACATTTGAGAGTCAGAATTCCAAATCCGTCGGAAAAAAAAGGTATGTTTATTTAGAAAGAAAGTACGCTTTTGCATTTGATTTTGAAACTTAGGATATCGACTGCGCTAATTAATTAGTATTTTTAAGGTTATGCTTTCGAATCATTATGGTTTTACTTTTCAACCGGTGTTAAACAGCCGACTCAATTCGGAGTTAACGACTAAAGATGCCCAACTTCATAGCCTTGTAAATTTTTTGTGATTTTCTCTTTTCTTTCAGAAAGGTACCGTTGTATTTCGCAATCTAAATCTTCGAAAGGAACAATGTGTCAGATGGGATTTGTGTTCCAGTTTTCAGAAACAACAGTTCTCTTGCCTAAAAACAAGACGCAACGCATTCACTGTCACAGATGCTTCTTATTTGGAAGCTAGCCAACACTACTGTCTAGCAACTACCAACAGAACCTTGCATTTCATGCATGCAGCGCCATCAGCTCATTGGGAAACTTTTAGAGTTGTTGGTATGTATACACATGGTGTTTCGTAAACTGAAAAAACTGTGATGTAACAGTGCTCCGAATTTTGAATTAAACAACTTAAAAATTGTGCAAAGAAACACTTTATTTCAAGTTATCGTCAAACCAAGCGTTCAAACACATTAAAGGTTTATAGTAGTAAAGGTAGTTATATTTAAACATCGATAATTAAGAATAATTAATCCAAATTCATGCGCATTCACTTCATAGGTGAATTATTTTTCATTTTCGCTAACAAAAATTTCGATATACTTCCGATATTGTTTGTATATTGCTGTTTACAATAGAGTGCGAAACAGCGAGAGTTTGTCGATAGTGCCTGGTTTATTATAAAGCCAGAGAGGCTCTAGCCTAGGTCCCTAACATTTCTGGGGATCCCCTGAATGTTACAAATAATTTCTATTTCTGTTTTTCCTTAAAAATTGTTTATTAGAAAGTTTATGAGTTATCAAAAATTTAAATAAATATAAGCTTGAACTTACTAATATACCGTAATTCACTTGTGTTATAAATAATTTTAAGACACTTCATAATTGAGCTACATGTAAATTTGGTTTAAAGCAACAACCAGCAGGCCTCAGATTGTTTGTCGATGTTTTTCACACTGCTATACTTTTACAGATTCTGACTCTTTTACAGAGATACTTTTACAGTTCTCTGGTTTAGGTCAACATTGCGATATGTGGATGAATGAATGGGTGTATGAATGGGTCCCCCTATAAACGGTTGTAGCAAAAGTCGAATTGGCAACGATTTTTTATTAAAAAGAGAAAAAAAGTTTTATAATAAAATGTATACTCTAAATACAACATGTTGCATTTAGAGTATACATTTTATTATAAGACTTTTTTAAAAACCCGTTGCCAATTTGACTTAAATTGGCATTAAAATATTATCATGTATACAAAAACTAAATTTTACACTGTAAAAGGGTTCAAGTTAAACACGTGAAGAAAATATAAACACTTATTCTGTTTGATTTTTATTTGAAAGTACTCCCATAGTCAATAATTTGCTATGGGAATATGGAGGACATTGTGACCCGACAAATTTAACGTTCACCAGTCGCCATTTACTATACGGGGAGTCTTCGGCCTGCTGGATTCGAATTTCCGTTTTAGCAAGTGTGAGTCCAGCGCCCGTTCAATCAGGTTATCTCGGCCCTGTTATATGTTTATTATGTTAACAAATAAAATAACTTTTACTAGTTAACAATTATTCGTACTTTTTATTGTGTTAGTTGGTAAAAACAAAAAAAAAATAATTTATTTACTATGTTGTTAAAAATGATCAAATCGAACAAAAATATAGTAAAATTCATACATAATTCATCAAGTGTTAAAATTTCAGGAAATATTTTAAATTTAGCTATCGTGCACCATATTGCAGTGCAACATTTACCTTTTTTGCAGAATGATATTATTTACGGCAAATTTTAACACGAAATTTTTTGAATTTTATTTTATGAACGGCTAAAGTAAACTTTTAGATTCAGTTCGCATACCTAAAGAAACTAATTTATAGTTGCATTACTAAAAAATATTTTAAAAAAAGATAATTTGATAGCGATAGTTAAAAAATCTATGAAACAATACATTCGGTCGCATAACTATAAAGAGACAAATTAATAGTTGTATTGTTGAAAATTATTTGAAACGATATATTCGCTCGTATACCATAAACGACTCATTTATAGTTGAATTGTTAAAAAAAAATATTTGAAAACTAATAGTGAATTATAATGATTAATTGACTAATGTAAAATTGATGGCTAAAATGACTAATTTGAAATTGCATTGTTAAAGGAAATATTTGAAAATGATATTTGAAATTATAGATTCCTTCATTCGGTTGATTTATTTATTTTAAAATTGTTAAAAAATCGAAACGCTAATATTTTAAAACAATAGAGTTTCACAAGGTTTTTTATTTACTAATTGTAGAAGGTTAATTGTAGATAAAATCTAACCTTATGCCCGTTAAACGAAGACGCAAGATCTGGTTTTAATCGATATCAATCATACTACAATTTTCTAAATAGGTAACTGAAATATGGCTTGAAATCTTATCTGTGACAATGTAGTTCTTTTTATTTACAGATCTTCCTACTGTACCCACTTGCCTTGAAAACAACTTTCAAGAAAAGGTAACATAGTCTTTTGAGTTCAAAAATCCTTCTATTTCCAAAATATCATTTGAGATTATTTTTCGTTAAATATTTACTACAAAAAGTTTCATTATTTTATGTTTGAACAATAAATTTTATTAAAGTAAAAAAACTTTTTCGAAGAGTTACTTTGGGTTCCTACATAAAAAATTAAAGCTACGTTTTATTTTTGAGTATCTAAACGGACCTTTTACACGAATTGGAAAATTTGAATAAAATTCGTTTATTCAAAGATAATTTCAAGCAAAAAATAAATTTTAAATATTTATTATTTTTTATTATTTATTTATTAATGATCGAAAAACTTTGAATAGTAAGGTATACGATTTTATACGTCATTTCAAAGAATATAATTTTTTACATGGCAAAATACAAAACTTGAGCGAAATCAGTCTAATAGTTACGGAGTAATTTAATTTTAAATATCTGACTTGTTTGAAATTCAATTTCTCATTAAGTTCAAAAATACATTATATGTGCAGACCCACATGCATTGTATGTATATTATAAATACACGTATGTATTCATGATCATAAATTTCATGCACGTGTATACATACAGTGCTAGATTGTATGAACGTAAATACATACATAAGTACATAGTATGTAAATACACACATGTAATGTAAGTATGTGAGAAACTGTGTACATTGTACATATCTACGCACAATGTGTGTACATGAGTATATAAATACACCATATGTACGTAAAATATACAAATATACAGGTGCATAAAATGTACGTACGTACGTTCACTGTACAGTGCGCAAAATAAAAAACGGACCACCCAGAATAACTTTTGATCTATGATCGGATCTTTACGTTCTAGGACTCAAACTTAATGGCTCGAGAGGGTGACCTTGAAGATGTAAATGAATAAGTACAGCGGTATTTTAAGTTTCGGAATCAGACATAAAAGTATATTTATTCTGAATAAACATGCCTTTTTTTGGATGGAATTAAATTTCTGTCCCCAAAATATAGGGGTAGCAAAAATCTGGGAAATATGGTCCCAATAGTTTGGTCTGTAGGGCACTCCAAAATTTGTACCCCTTAATGTTAATTTCACTTTTTGAGTATTTCGTTTTATGTCTAGAACTTTTTAAGCGAATTGAAAAAAAATTTACACACAATCATAAAATTTGTTTACCCAAAGATAAATTCATGCAAAAAGTAATTATTTTTTTAATAATTTCATTTAAAAAGTTTCGAAATTTTTTTGAAATGTAAGGTATAAAATTTTTTGCAGCATTTGAAAGAATGTAATTTTACATTGCAACATACAAATGTTGAGCAAAATCGGTTGAAAAGTTCCTCAGAAATTGAATTTAAAAAAAGTCAAAGATTTAAAATTCGATTTCTCAGGAACTATTCAACCGATTTTGCTCAAAACTTACTATTTGCAATGCGACATTATATTCTTTACAATGATGCGAAAAATTGCGCTCCTTACAATTTAAATTTTGCCGACCAGGTGGCCGAGTGGTTAGCGTGCCTGATTGCGGGGCCATCGGCCGCTGGTTCGAATCCTGCTCAGAGCAGGGATGTTTCTCTCTCTCTGTGTGTTCTATGTCCTTTCTCCTTTGTGTGATTGTGACCCGCCCTATAAACGGGTTGTGGTTTATAACGTTTCAAGTTTCACGTTCAACGTAACAAGCAAGTTTAGAAACAAGCTTGAAAACGCTTTTTCTAACAATGTATTTTTAATTCTAGCTGATCATTTATACATTTAACATTTCATTTTTCTGTTATAGAATTCTCGATCAACGAATGAACTTTTTGTTGGGGATCATGTTGGAAATGTGTACGTCTTTACATTCTTCTTCCCACGTACAATGTTGTTCTCAAGGAATTTCACACTAGGGACGCAAAGGATATCTTTTAAGGTACGCTTAAAAAAGTAAGAAGGAAAAAAAAATAACATAAAAGAACACTCGATTGTTCAGTTTCAAAAAGAAGAAAATAAATTTTTTTTGCAATACTAACAAATTTAGTTCCCATTAACACCAAATGCTTGAAATTTAAATATATTTTTAATAGTTTTTTGGAAGCTGGATAAAAACGAACACAAACACCACTTTTACCTTTTGACTACTTCTTTTAACACATTTACGCTGAAGTCTTATTAAATAGATTTTTCATTATTTTTTCTCAATTTAGGCCAAAAGATGCGACAAATATTAGAATTAGCATTTTAATAGTTTATGGTTATAAAATATGGCATGAAACGCCTGTAAATTCTTCCGAACACGGCTCACTTCCAAAGAATAATAGCTCAAATTAACACTTATTTACAGTTAAATAAGTGCTAATATATTTCAATTGTGAACTACTGTTTCTCTTATAAGATATAAGAGAAACAGTAGTTCATAATTGAAATATTCGTATTCACAAAATCAATTATTCATAAATTTTTATAATATGAATAAAAAAGAATTAAAGTACTTTTTTTGGATTTCATGATGATTTTGATGAATACAATGATGATTTCGATAATCTAACAGCTTTTTTAGTAGCTATTGGAATTTTTTTTCTTATAATGTTTTCTCTTATAATTAAATAATACCAAAATAATTTTTTGCTTTCAATTAGAGCGTAAAAAATAATTTTCAGCAATGTGAAATATATATAAAAAGAACAATGTAATATAAGAGGAACGTAAAATATATATAGCATAACGAAATGTGGAACGTATAAGTAAAGTAAACGTATAAGTATAATGCGGAAAAGTCTAAATTTGCGATATATTACTGGGTTATGTATAACTAAAATTAAATTATGAACTTAGAGAGAAAAATACAAATTAATTATTCAGACCTTTCTAATATCTATTTTTCTCCCGCAGTGGACTGATCTCAGTAGAACACCAAAATCAAGCCTCACAGGCTGCGTTCAGTAAGCGGGTGGGTGGCCACTTTGATCAGCCTGCATAGGGGCCGAGGGTGTTCGGTATCGGTCCTCGTTAAATTGTTCTACCGTAAAGTGCTTGATTGCACGCTCAGGTAGGTCGCTTCAGGATCCTCTCTGAAGAGGATCAAAATTGCGATGGCATATCTTCGGATCATCCTCAGGAATGTTTTCCAGACCGTCGTCTATTGCCCATTGCGAAGCTCTAGTGTGACGTAAATAAAGTACCTAACTACCAAATTTCTATTTATTAATGCAAGTTACGCAATATATTAAAATATATATGATACATTTGCAGTTTTACAAAGACTTCTTTTGGCTTCACGTTTTGTTGGGAATCGTATATTTTAAAACCTTGACCAAAGAAAATTGATCCTAGATTTGAAAGTTATCGTAAGAACTTGGTCCAAAATATCCTCAAAGTACTAATTAGGGTACATAGGATTTGATTTCTTAAATTTTTTTAAGAATAGCTCTTTTCTCATAACACAACTAAAAAAAGAAAGACATTCTTATTTCACCCGAGAATTATACTTTGTTCATTACTCATATAACCCTGGAATCTTATGAAACTAAGGAACTCAAGATCCGTTCAAAGAACTCCAGTTTCGTTCGGAATTTGCCTTGCTTTATCCATACTCGTATATTCCCTGGAATCTTATGAAATATGGAACTCAAGGTTCATACGAAATTTAAAGAATAAAAAGTGGTGCCAATTTACTGTAGATATATTGAACATTCACTATTGTTAGTTTTATTTTTTAGTTTGTATAAATATAAAAGAGTAAAATTATTAAAAACTTTGAGTTATTAAAATGTTTGCATACATTCTTTTTATACTACGAGATGGTAAATAATAGATGGGCTTTTTAAGAGAACAAATTTTGCACATTTTTAGGATTTGGAAGACCACAGGGATTACATCAAATGTAAGAAAATGGTAAAAGTACATAATGATCTTATTGATAAAATCAAATATGTGGAATGTGGTCAACTTTTCTCCACTTCTAAGCTGGACACGGCAAACTGCTTAGTTCGTCAAGACCTGACACTAGAGAATTCGCGACATGTATACCGCCACAGAAAGGTAAATACTGCTTAATTCCCTGAGCTCGCACTTATTTTACACGATATAAAGAATGATTATAAAATAGCATACGACCTATTGGTGAGCACAACGTTTGAGTTAACGGGATAAAATTTTAAACATAGGTATTATAATTTATGAGCAAAAGAATGATCTTATAAATGATTGCGCAGCTTTCATGGTTAAAGTTATAGAAACAGAATTTCGAAATTTTCAAATGGCAACACATACGTTTTCTGATCCAAGCGTGAGCCTTACTGTGGAAAACTTAAAATATTTCAATACAAGAAGTGATGACGCGAAACAGATGGTTTCAAAAGTACTATCCATCAAATTCTTACATACATGGCTCATGTTGCAATGCAATATCTACTATTTCCGTATGCAAAATGCAATCCTTTGTGAGCGAAGACATAACGAAAATTTGCAATTTATAATTACTTCTTTGCTTTTATTTCCTTTATAATTTCTTATCTGCTTTTTCAAGTTTTTTGTCACAATTTTTTGTCGTTAGTGGTCGCGAAAAATGGCGACGTTCGGCAAAGACCATTGCTCAAAAAGTTTTGTTCAAGTTTAAGTTTTTTTATTGTAAGGATTACGCTTCGATCAAAGAAAAAAAAATGTGAGTGCTACCACTTTAAAATTTTGTAACTGTAACTGTAGGAGCTGCCCAATCATCTATTCCATCATTTTTGAGCGCATATATGATACCTACTTGCAAAATTTAATTTCGTTCCCTTCTATGGTGCTTTCTCCAGAAGGTTTATGTGTTGAAAATGTTATTTCATAATCCCCCTGTATATTAAAAAGCATATATATATATTAGGAATCGTACTGAAAATGACATGTGGCTTATAGAGGGTATAAAGTAGTTAATGCGCTCCTCTGAAAATTTGGTCGTAGGATTTCTATGGTGTTTAGATCTGAAGTAACCGATCCGCCCAGTCGTTACCGAGCCCGGTGACACGAATGATCCAGTCCTTATCTAGATCAAGTCCAGAAGACCGTTCACCCAAGTCATGAACTAGCATAGGATTTTCAAAGAGATCACTCTTCTCTAGCTCTAAACAGGAGAGAAAGTGGACAGAAGTAGATGGGTGTGAATTACACTTGGAGCACAGAGGAAACTCCTTCTGTCCTTGTCCTTGCTAGTATAAAAGTGTGCGAGTATGTCGACTGATGAATCTGGTAATGGTGGTCTATAATTTTCCATCTCCCTTTAGATTTAAAGCAGCCCCAGGATGTTTTTGTTGGTACCAGTCTTTAGCGGGTAGAATCCTCTAGGCCCTCTTGTTATAACCCATTTCTACTCCGTACTCATTTCTATTTCGTCTTTATATTCTTTCTGTGCTATGCGTATGTTTAATTTACAAGCTGATTTTATTTTAAAAATTAGTGTAAGCATAGAACCTAAATTGATGATTCCTACTGTATATTGTATTGTAAAAACAGCTTTACTGACTTTTATGTGTAACTTATAGTAATTACAAATTTTGATCCTACAAAATAATGGTGGCGTCTACGTTACACCCAGTAGTCTAAAGGAAGTGGTATAAAAGAACATTTAGTGAAACATCACTTTGGTGTAAAGTAGTTGCCACCAATTTTGACGAAAATTTCTTATAGTGCAGTCCTTAATATCTTTTTTAATAATATCTTAATATCTTTTTATTGGGTGCACTCAACAAACCTTTTCTACAATAATGATCGATTTCTGGTGCATTTGAGTGTAACTAAGATCCTTCCCATATAAAAGTATGAATCAATTGCAAAAGATTATTTTAATGAAGAAAAAAAACAGCACATTACGAGATTTTAATTTAAATTAAAATCTTGTAATGAGCTGTTTTGATGATTTGAAATTGAAAATGGAAAAAAAAATATCATGAAATCTGTATGCATAATGATTTATTTTATAAATTCATAATCTTATTCCTTAAATTTGTTGAAGGGTATTACGTGTTTTGATGTGAGCTTACCTCTAAAACTGATTGTCACCGGAAGTAAAGATTTCATTGTTCGTATGTGGAACATGCATGAAACAGCTAAACCTTACATGAAGTTAACAGGTCATCGAGCCGTTGTTTCGGATTTGTGTTTTACAGAAAAACTTCTGATTTCGATTTGCAAAGAAGGGGTGAGTATATGATATGTTTTTAGGCTTACCAGCGTCCTGGGAAAGACTAGAAAACTTGTGGTAAAGTTTTTTTTAAAAGAATATTCGAAAACTTACTGCTTTACATTTACATTTTAGAATGGCTAGAACACAAATTTCTAACAGGGACTAAATTTTTTTCTAAAATAGAAAGGTTAGTTCTTCTAAGGATGCTGGTAAACATGTGTATATCACGTAAGTATAGAATCGCATTGTTATACTCAATTAATTTGTTGAGTTTTAAGTCGTGTTTATCGAAAAAAATTTCTATTATATATAGAGCACTAGTGAAAAAAAACTATGAACTAAAACTTAACAGTGGATAACTCTTAAGATTATATAGCAGTGGCTCTCAATTTATGCTCCATTGAACTCTCAGTGCTCCGCAAAACATTGTCCAGACAGGGAAAAGGAAAGGTAAGATATGTTAAGAGTTGTTGTTGTCGTCAGCCATGAAGGCAGTGAGGGTGCGATTGTTCTCGTTTTCCAATGGCGCCATCTGTGGTCAAAAATTTGCTTCTGCCACACCCATACGTCACGCCCGCTTATAGAGCTAAGCCCATTCATATATCTATTCATTCGTCCACAAATCGTGATTTTGGCCAGAACCAGAGAGCGATCAATCTCCAATTCAGTACCCCCAGAGGTATTGATTTGTTATGGGAACCTGGAGGACTTTGTGACCCAACAGATTTAACATGCACTAGTCTTCATTTACTACCGGTCTGTCTTCGACCGGCTGGATTCGAAATCTCACAAACGTGAAGCCAGCGCCATCACAACCAGGCTGTCCCGGTCTATGTTTAGAGTTAAAAATAAATTATAAGACACCATTTAAAATCTAATGTGCAATTCTACGAAAAAAAGTAGGAAAAAATATTTTAATGTCATTGCTTTTTGTGCTCTCTGTGTGTAAGGGGAAAATAATCGAGTATCGATTCTTTTTTCTCCGTTCAGGGAAACATTGATCGTATAAAATAGTCGTCAACATCTGCTTATGCAGTCAATGTGTCAAATAGAAAATTTTTATAAAAAATTTTTTCTGTTACTAGAGAAACAAATCCACACAAAAAACCTCATTGGACAACACTATGAGAATGAACCAAATACAATCCCATTTTACACATCAGAATAACTTCGAGCTTCTCATTAAATTTATGTTTAAAGAAGCTAAGTTAAATTTTTTCTCTCACAATTTTAATGGAATCTAAATAACAAACTATGAATTGGCAATATTGGCCTTAAATTTTTTTTATTTATATATACTTTTGTTGTCTGCTATGAGAAATAAGTCCCAAAATAAAAATCTTTAAATTGTAATATCTAATGGACTGGATAAGATTAAATGACGAAATGTTTTAGCATCGTTGATGCCGTTTTGTCGGTCAATTTATTAAATGAAGTATATAAACCGCGAGGTCAAATGTAATGCTCTATGTAGAAATTCCAATTTCAAAAGTGATTCGCTTTTAATATGGCTATTAAGTTTTTTTCCCCACAACTTTTGAGTTATATATGCAGGGTGGTTGATAGACCTTGTTTAGAACCGTAGTGATCGATTTTGAGAACGGATGTTTATGAAACTCAGTATGATTCGTATGTATCACGTACAAGTATATTATCACGTGCATGTACGTATTATATACGTTTAATAAATAGATCACGGAAAAAATTTATCCTCAATATAAAAAATAGTTCACGTGTTCTCCGATTCTCCGATGGCCTTTTCTTACACGATAAAGGAAATCGATGCATTTTCTGCAATTCCATTGTACAGTAGAAAAAAAAAACGAGAAAGATTGTTATTTGAAAAAACTAGAAAAAGTGCTAAAAAAGAAAGAAAAAAGATCACAGCATTGAAAGCAAGCGTAAGGGGGTCATGCTTCAGCAATAGATCTTTAAACTGTTCACATTTTGGTTAAACTGGTTGTAATGCAGTTTGAACATGTGTTTTATTTTATACTATAACCGGCATTGAACAACCGACCCATTTTTGGGATCACGTCTATCGATGCTAATTACCGTGTAATTTTGAACCCATTACAGTGTAATTTTGAACCAAACCAAGAAGACAAGGGAACTTCTGGAGTAAAATTAGTGGAAAACTTTTTAAATAAATTAAATCACATTTGAGTTACATGAAAAGGAAAACCACAAAATCCTTCACAATCAACTCAACTGCAAGGAATTCTAACCCATGATCAGTCTACCACTGAGGTTATTTTATGCCAGAGCACTGCGGTCGGTTTGAACTTGTGTTTTACGAAATTTTGATGAGTATTGAACATATCTATACTGTGAATGAATTAGTTTCTACGTCTCGAGTTTGTAATTCTTTTCTTTTTGTGCACTGTTTTTCCTCACTTGCTTATTTAATTTCAGTTAATTTTTCATTTCAAACTGGACCTCATTTTCACGTGGCTCATAAAACATAAAGACCAAGTTTAATCAAATTCCGTCAATCAAAACAGATTTTCAGCTAGTTTAAAAAAAGGTAGTTAAGATTTGAACTGTATATTTGTGACTGTATGTCGTGTTGATTAGTTACATTTATCAAATAAATATTAAATTGTGCATTTTGTTACCACTAGAAAAAAAAGGAAGTTTACAACTATGAAAAATCGTTTACAGTTATGAACAATGAATCTACAGCTTTGAGCAATACAAGCTGTAGAGACTATTTTTAAGCTGCGATCGTAATGTTAATCTAACCTATTTAGCTAGTTTCAACAATCAGTTCTCACTGATCTCGACAATTGAAGCTCTGCTTTCAATGTATTTTTTTAAGCTAAATCAAATTGTGCATAATTTTTACATTATTACCTTTAGCTATCTGGACATATAAGTTAAATTTTCTGATATAATGTATCATGTTATATTTAGTGATAGGATTATAGTTAGATATGATTAGATTTATTAAGTAAAAGAAAACCATTGACCAAGACTTTGTAAAAGAAAACCATTGCAACTTTGGCACCTTATAAAAAATTGCTGCATTGACTCGTATTTGATCTCATATAACTATTTTTTAAATAATATTTTAGATTTTGTTATAAGTTTCTAACGGTGTTTTGATTTTTTTTCTTTTAGGAATTTCGAATATGGGAAATATCAGAAGGAAATCTATTGCAAAGTATATCCATAAAGTTTTCATATAGTCACGTGCAATCACAACTTGGGAGAACGTACATCTTACATGCTCCCGCGAGATGCAAGGACGATTGCTTTGTCTCAATGTCAGATTGTACTGTCAAAGTGAAACTTCCTGCAGAAGAATTTTAATATTGCCATGCCGTGTAAGAAAGATGAGCAGCATCATGAGTAATTTTTAATAAAGTTAATAATTAGTGTGGAGATGCTCAGTTCACGAAAATTACCTATTCATATTTAGTACATTTAAATTTATTAGTCCTATTTTCATCTCGAAAGAAATCAATAGAATAAATGCAATGGTACGGTCTTAAAAGGATAAACTAGATCAATATCGTGAACAACTTTTACTAAAATTATTACTGTCGATGAAGATGTACAGCTCACAAAAAAAGAAACAGGATAACACAAAATGCTTTTTAATTTATTAATAAAATTTCAGTCTGAAATAGATCGAAGAAAATTATTAGAATAAACTCAATCGTTAGCTGTAACGTAACCGTCGAGAAGTATATCTGTTTCGGATTTCTTTTTTTTAGTTTGATAAAGCATGTAAAAACAAGCCAAAAAACAAAATTTCACAATATTTTGATTATTGGATGCATAATAGTCACATAAGGCATCAAAAAATAATAAATCGACAATTTTCGTCTTTAAATGATTCGATATTACGAATCGGATGTGAGGCCTGACCGTTCATTACGTTGTATTCATTTATTAGATATAAATTTTGTTTACTAGTTGCGTAACGGTGCCTTTAAATTTGAACAAAGCAGGAGGGGTTTTTGAAAGATTTTTTATGGTAAAATTAGTTTATTGTTAAGCTCGAAGTTTAGTTTCTTTCAACTTCATTTTGTGCTTTCTAATTTTTTTAAACTTTTTAAGTAAATCATTAATTTTCGGGATCAATAGCTGTTGAAGGCCGCCGCGGTTATAAGCTGTAAAATAAAAGTTTTATATGTTGCAATGAAAGAATTGTTTGGCCATAAAAAAATAATTCAGCCGAGCTTGCTTAAAACGATATCTGATTTAACAAGAACTCGGATTTAATGAAAAAATTGAAAATACTTGGTACTAGGTTTGTCCGATCATAATTATTACCGAGCTTATTTACCGAGTAATATTTTTGAGATCCATGAAATTAGTATTAAATTACATCTCTCTAGATCAGCTAATATCTTCTAGGAAATATTTCTTTTTGAGGTTTTTTAAGTCGATGAAATTATTATGCTGAAATTAAGTCGATTTAATATTTTTTGGTTTAAGTTGAAGATTTTCTTAATTTTTAATTAGTTAACGATGTTAACATTAAGTTAACAATGTTTTTCGGATCTTATTCGACGAACAATAAATTCAACACAGAAACAACAAGACTGTTTCAAAGCAAATTAGCTGCCTGCTTTTTGTACTGACCGAAATAAATAAAATAATATATAAGTCAAATTTTTTAATTAAGTAAGTGTGTATGAAAAGATTATTTTTCATTTGCATTCTTCTGCTAGCATTTGCATGGTTGTTAGGAGCAAATATTGTGTTCCCTTTGATTGAGCGAGTATGGCTGTATCAAAAGTATTTACTCAATATAGAATTCTTATTTTGTTTTCAAATTGCCTCTAGGCATAAAAATCAAAATTTTTGTAAAAGAAGGAGCTGCTTCTCCTACCCATGGCTTCTTCAATTCCAGTTTTTGTCTAGATTAGAAACGGCGTTAGCACTAAACATACCAGCACTTTACAATACAATACAATACAATACAACGTACAATAACTGGTCTTTTGACTGCTTTTGGTTGAACTCAAAAAGGAAACTCATTGCACTTGTAATTATTCCAAAAACAAGGAAACTGTTTACAGTTTATATAGACTTAAGTTTCTTTCTTAAAAAAGTAGATGGCAGCACTATCTCTTAAAATTATTAAAGCTGCCTTTCAAATTAATAACTTTGAAACTTATGGTAAAGTGTGTTTAGTACCGCCGTCTGTGATGCAAAGTAAAATTTACAGCTTAATATATATGAATGAACATAAAATTAGAAGATTTTTTAGTTGCATAAAAAAGGATAAAAAGAAGTTTTAATAATTTGGAAATTTTATTTTGCTAATCATTTACAAACCATTAAAATTTTTTCAAACACTAACCCCCCCCCCTCCAAAAGAAACAAACAAACAAACATTCATTTCAAAAAATTATTTCATTAGTTACAATATTTACTAATTATTTGCATATTGGTCATTAAGAGAAATGTAAATAATAAATACGTAAATAAGTAACGTAATGAAACCGATGTGATTCCGACGTGATGAAATTGGTGTAATATAGATAAAATGGAAGTGACTTGTAATAAGAACGAGAATCAACAGAAGGCAAGTCATATATACCCAGACATGCCAACTGTTCCGAATTCGACAGAATATTTTGAAAAATGATAGAAAACTACAAAGTAAATTGGCAAATTTTCGGTTAATTTGACAACTTTTTAAAAGGCTAAACACGTCTTTAACAAAGTGGCGTATGACATAAGCCTTTGAATAATTTAGTGGTGATGAAAAGAAAAAATAAATTCAATTGTAAATTCCTGTAAATTCAATTTACTAAACCAAGAATCATGTCTAAGGGGTCACGTGTTTGATCTCTGCCGGCCGAAGACTCTCCGTGTTGTAAATGGTGACTGACGAACGTTAAATCTGTCGAGTCACAAAGTCCTCCATGTTTCCATTACAAATCATACCTCTGGGGTAGTAATCCAGGAGTTTCTTGTCTTCTGGATTGGTTCAAAATTACAAGGCTACGGGGTTGAACATTAGTAGTTGTAAACTCAAAATTGGGTCAGCGGTTATAAAAAAACAAAAAAAACCCCCAATAATGACACATTAAAAGACTACCACTTAAAAATGCCCGCTGTCTGGAGCAAGTTGGCCTCTCTGTGTACCTCGTTTCAGTAATTTGTCTTTGCGTTCTAATTTTCTTGCCAAAAAAAGAAAGTTTTTTAAATTTATTTGTCTATTTGCTACCGAATGCTCAAACAATCAAAAATTGTCAGTATACCTATCCACTAAGATCTTCAAAAAATATAGGCTTGGAAAAATGAATTGGTGTTATTGTACGAGAGAAGATTAAAATTTCTCTCGAGAAATTTAAATTGTTTCGAAAATGTAATCTAGAACTTATTTCCACAGTGCTATCGAATATAGCATTTTTCTTTAGAGTATTGCCTTTTCACCTCCTGGTTAGTGTGAGGAATGCATCAGCATAATTAAAGTATTTGCTTGAAATTAAAGTGTCTTTTCCTAACCATATGATAACAGACAAATCCCCCCCCTCATACAAAATTTGGTTACCACATCATCTCATGAATGGGGAGGGGGGCTGTCTGTCTGACAGACATATATATATATATATATAAGACTTAAGATTTTAATTNATATATATATATAACCTCTTCAGACCAATAATTAAAAATTGTAATCTTAGAAGGGGCTTCGTTTCATAAACTATAAAATGTGAGAGTTCCGCAGTCCCTGGCATCTTTGCATGTATAGAAGCTAAGAAATGAATTTTCTCTGCTGTCCTCTATTATAATGTAACCTTTAAAACTGCAATACACGATTGCAAAGGATTGATTTATTTCAACTCTGTAGTACGTTCTGTTTCAGCTTCGTTAGTTTGACGACTACTGAAGTGTGTCTGCCACTAGAAAAATACAATTCCAATTCAAAAGTATAGAAGACATGCTAACTCGATTCTATGATGGGGTACCATTTCATAGATGAAGGTTGACATGGTCGATGTGACTCTCCCCAAATTGGTGACCCGGACAAGATGTGAACAGGCCTACCTTGACAAAAACTCCCACTTCGATTTGAGCATGCCTGGTCCTGATGGATGGTCCACATTAAACAGTTGACTTGCTAATTGTGACTGAGACATTAACCACCACCTCGCGCTGTTGCTACTCAATTTCGATCAAACACAACGTCGACCTGCATACGCTCGACTGCTAATGGCAACACAAGAGCAGTTATGACCCTGAACTTAATACAGCTCTCACGATCAGCAAAAGTACGGTGATCTTAATACAGCTCTCCCAAAACAGCAATGAATCAACTAGTGGTATCCGTTCATCAAATTCTATCACAAGTATAATTCTGGTGGGGGAGCACTGTAGTGTGTCTGCCACTACAGAAATACCATTCCAATTCTCTAATATATGACATGTTAACTCGATTCTATGATGGGATACCTTTTCATAGATGAAAGTTGACATGGTCTTTGTGACTCTTCCCACACTACTGCCATTTTGGTAAGAGTAACTATTGCAGTTTGATAGTTTTAAGTTTACTATTGCAATTTAAAGCTCCAGTCATTACATTTCTCACAATTCAAGTTCTTATTTTATTTTTGATGATTCTGTGTTTGTTATTGCAGAAAACTTATTATTTGCATCTACATTGGGTATCAAGAAATTTATAACGTTGTACGCGCAGTTTTGCAGATATACGAAGTGATATAAAAAGTTTTTCCCTCAAAAAGTCGTAACCTCGACAAATTCTGCGTATAAAAATAAGTATTATAATTCACTTTTAAAATTATTAGGATTGAAGGGTTGAAATAAGGTTAGTTCGAATAAGAACTGACTTTTATATTTTTCTCCATTGTAAATCTGGAACGAGAACCTGATTTTAGTTGGACATCTTTAATGTATTTCTTTCACTTATCTCTTTATATTTTTTTAGAGACTAAATTTTTGAGCTGTGAATTTATTGAATGTCAATTTACGTACATTTACGATATTTGTAATAGTGAGGGAAAAAAATGAATGATAGATGCCAAACCAAGCCTCTATTTATAAGGATTTTTGCTAATAGGTAAATGTGCTTATTAAATATATTAGGTTAATTTGCCGCTTTCTTTTTTTATGTTAAGGCACTGACCGGTATTCTCTACTCTGAATTTTTTTTCTATCTAAATTGTGGGAGCCGTGGTGACTCAGAGGATAGAGTGTTCGCCTTCCAATAAGGTGAACCAAGTTTGAATCCTGGCAATGTCTGATTGATTCGAATTCCGCACCCGGCTAGCACCAACCACAGTGCTGAGGTGAAATATCCTCAGTGGTAGACGGATCATGGATTTGAG